CCACACAGGATGTACCCTATATGTTATCTAGTGTAATGTCCAATCCTAAACTGTCTGGGTAAGTAAATAAGGCGTTAAATTTACAACTAGTGCTAATACCTGTTATCTGGTCTTGATGACAATAGGGTCCCCAAATTATATAAGAGTGCCTTTGCTGTGGAATTATTTGTACATATAACCGTCCTTTAATAACGCAGTACAGTGTATTTATAATCAGAAACTTGCAAATTACACAAATCAACCTTCCATTGAGACATCTTATTCAGAATATATCCCAGAAGATGAATGAGTGTTTGATAATCCTGGGCGTGAAGAAGCAATTATTGTACCCCTGGGGAGGGAAGAATATTTATAAGTTAAACCCAAGTCAAAGACATTCAATTTTATGTTTAGTTTACTTGCAATTAGATTTTTGAGCCAAATCATAAATTCATTGGTAGGTAAGGAAATTCTTTTATTTTTGATTTTTTTTTAATAATACTTAGTATAGTAACTTACAATTCAAAAAGAATACCAGTATTGTAAATTATGATTATTTTACTTAATTTTTACTCCAAAAATATTGGAAATCAACCTCTCTCAAAAAATGTCAATGAAATATTTAGGGTATGGGGGTATATTGGTGGATAGCTAAATGGGAAACATATTTCATTTTAAAGGGGCATCACGGTTAAGTAACTTTATTTTTTGTCTTTTTTTCAAATACTACATAAACATATGAAGTGAGTCTCCTTATGGAAAATAACGATCGGATTTGGCTGAAAAAGATTCATAAAAATGATTAAATCTAAGAAAATCATCGGTATTTCTACCTGTCTGACCAACGTTTTGTTCAGGGATTTCCCTCTACTAGCGCATGCACATAGCACACCATTTCTTTGTAAACATAATGACTGGCCGTGTCAGTTACGAAACGAAAAGTTGCCAAATGGTCAAAAGATAGCGCAAGGAGTACGTTACGGAATCATTATTGCAGGTGGGCAGTATTCAAAGGAGAAAATAACTGCCCTAGCAGTTAGTACGGTGCATGTATTCTTCCGGATAGCCGGCTTAGCTGAAATGGAATCGACAAGAAATGCTAGCGCTGTTTACGTTATGAATACATATCTAAAACTATTAAGCTCGCTAGTATCTTTGTCTGAGTTTGAACACAGATGAACTTAGTTTAATATGTTAATGGGCATGTATTGGAGAGTTTACTTTGTGTTTCTATAATTATACAGTGGTTTATGCGAAAGGAAGGGATAAGTGACTGGTTAGTTTGATTTTGCCATGAGGCCCTCGTAGGGATAACTGTTGTGATGGCCCCCAGGGTGTATTTTCTGGGTCACCGAGATACGTGTTATCTAAGTCCGTGGATTTACATAATTCATAATATTAACCGGGTTCAGTAAAATGGTATGATTTAATTATATTGCTGAATTAAACGATTATTTTTGTTTTTACATACAAGATTTAAATTAGTACTAATATGAATACCCTGCCTCCTCTGTCCCGGCAATATATAAAAAAAAAATCAGAAATGTTTGTCTCTTGGTTTAGGGAAGGTGTTTAGCCCCGTACCATCTGTACCGGTCACATTCCGGTACTAAATTCAATATATATTTATAAATATCTACTTAATGTTTATGCCTATTATCATTGTTGACATTTAATTGTAAATGTATGACGGTAGAAGACTGTGATAAATTGTAAAAACTTGTGCCCCATCCCTTGTTCAATTTTATTGGCAACACATATGTTTAAAGTTAATAAATTTAAATTCTGAATATTGGCAAGCGTGCAATTAACTTCTGATGATGAATGATAACTGTTCAATAAGTTTGAATACAGACTTCGAAATCATATTACTTAGTTTCATAGCGCGGTAAGAAGTTGCGCCCAACGGCCCCTTTCTGGGGGCAGGGTCTAACATTAACTTTTGTTCTTCTGTTTTCATTGTCCTTCCCTTTATTATTGTACTTAAAATAATCTACCTACGTACCTACACCTAGCTATGTGATGAAAACTTCATACGTTGAATATTTCCCTTTCCAGGATATACATGATTTTGCTTACAGTACTTTAAGTATAGGCTATCAGCAGCTTCTCCACGACTTAAGTTGTATTCCTTTTCTTTTAATAATGTGACATGGTTTATTATAATTGAAACTGAACATAATATGTTCTTTAATTATTCACTTCTGATAATAAACATGAAAATATTTATGGTATTAGCTCTTCAAAAACTATTTTCCAGTTCCACACATAATCAAAGGTGATCATCGTCAAAAATTTACAGGTTCAAGTGAAATTTTCTGACTAGTAAAACAATAGCAGTTGACACTGTAAAATGTGTCAAACCGTTTTTAATTATAAATGCTAATAAAAGTTTGTTAATCACAAATATTGTTGAATATCACATTTTACAGTCTAAAAAGTGTATGATGCATTTATATGTTTACCTCTCGCCACATAATTTCAATCACCAAAGTGGGGCACAAGATCGTCTAGGATGTGGAGCTATTAGCCAGGTGGCTTATATTTAATATTAGGATTGATTGACGGGGCTCATCATCCTTGCTAAAAGCACTTAGCTCTTCATATATATATATATCGTGTAAGGACAGTGGGGTTTTTTGGCCTGATCTACAGCCGTCTAACGGCTGCTTTCCCTAGTCTGAAAATTACGTATTTTCCCAAAATAAAAATATATTTTCCCAAATAAAATACCTGTTAATTTAGTCTTTGTTTGCTTACATAAGTCGTTCTCCAGACAATAATAACTTCAGCGATCGGAAATTTTCCGTTTCTGAGCAAGGGGAGATAAGTCAAATCTGAATATTCTAATCTAGGTCATGATAGCGTTTGATACGGTCATCGGAATTTCAAGCGTGAAATTGACAACTGCTTTGATTCGCGGGTGACATCCGGTTCTACACCGCATAATTCAAAATACTTCACTAAAAACATCAGAAAAATTGATTCCAAAGGACTGACTAAAATAAGTGATGCGTTCAAGGAAGCTACAAAGTCTTGTGGACACAGAGACGATCCCGTCATTTGCCGAGTTGACTCGTGTGTGCTTGATCTGGGCTTTTATCTGCTAGGAGTGAAAACACTCTTTACCATCTTTCAGAATCTGAATTTGCTTTTCGTATAGTGTTGTGAGACACACATCTGCGTGACACTGTTGTATGACAATTACATCAACTGTGACACATCCAATTAGTCTTTCATGTCCCAAAGGTCAACTAGGAAACGCTCCATTTTTTCTGTTGTCTCGCAAATTGCCAAGTCAACACACATAAATATTGCCTTTACTGCCTCCCTGTTCCTGTCAAGTTCTATATCCCCAAGTTCAGTAACCCCTCTGTCACAGAATGGAGAAGTGGACAAAGAAGAGATTGATTTGGTGGTACATGTACCTTGTTAAACTTTATTAAAATTGTGATTTCAAACCTTGTCAATGATTTTCATCTTACATTTTGTAAAGAATCTGTTACAAATTTTAAATAGGAACAAAATGAATAAAGAAATATGTCATTTTTTAAGAGCAGTTAATTCTCTACAAAAACTATCAGAATGCACCTCGGAGCCTCTAGAATTCAAAATTTTTCCGGGGGGGATCCCCGAACCCCCCAACATGGCTTCGCGCCTTCGCCGCTCGCGCTGCGCGGAAGACATCCTGTATTTTCCCAATTGCAAAGGAACCGGTGGTTGTAAAATGGCAGTAAAAAACCCATTGAAGGTCTTGTTTATCTGCTGTACCTATTTTTGTTGCACATTGTTGTGCGCATACTGGGAGTTTGTTGACATTTTTGTTTTTTGGTAGTAATCTTAAGATAACACTTTGTTTATATCTGGAAGAAGCTGATGATTATGATGTGAAAATATTAATTCACACTATTTTACTAAAAACAGCAGTAGCATATTCATTATTACCTTTCAATTACATGTAGATAAGCAGACATTATATCTAGTAGAAAACAATCTGGAAAAGGTGACTTCCTAGATATAATTCATAATGCCATAACTCCTCATTGCTTAATAAAGAGATGTTGTTTGTGTGGTCTGATGTGTGTGGTTATAATCAACATCAAAATCTACAATATCCTTGTATTTTTAGACTTAAAAGTGGTATCACAGTATTAACAGCTGTGTGTGCTATAAATAGACAGGCACTGAAACTGGGCATGTAATGGTGATGTTCAATCATGATGACGCGACTGAATGATTATCATTGTTTATAGAAAGTAATTACAAAGTGACTGCCAAAGTGAAATGAAAGATTTGCTTTAATTCATTTGAGATGTATTGGTACATTTGATGGGTCGTTCAAAATAACTTGCGATGGTTTAACCACAACACACCGTCCACAATTTTTTCTGTTGCGTAATTTGTGTTGCAAGCCACTATGAACACCCAAACATTGTTGTGGATATGACGTCTGACTCTCGTTTGGATTTTTTTGGTGAGAATATGACTATTCTTCCATGACACTATATTGATATGTATAAAATTAGCCATACTCTATTTTAGGCGGAAACAAAATGACAATAAATCTTGTTTTCGATCAAGCTAGAAGTCCATGTTTACAAGTAAGAAGCAACCAGAAGCTCTCCTTTGATCACTGTCCAGCACGTTTGTTTCTCACTTCATTTAAAATGAAATGACGCTCTCAGTATCTATAAGCTAAAGCAACAATAAAGGAACATTGGTATGGTGTCCTACTGAAAGTAGTTGCATGTCTTATCAATACTCACAGGCAGGGTCCAGTACATTACCCTCCAGCCTCTTAATCATAATTTCGTCTATGCATTTTCGAAACCACAATCAACCACTGCAATACTGATAACAGTCGGTCTTTTTATAAGATTTTTATGCAAACTGTCTTTGACCATATTGTTTGATTATTTCCTTCAACTGTAGTACTCTTATGATCAGCATACCATGCCAGACACAACAACCTAGTAATGTGACTGTCAATGTTTCTACGTGTGTTTCGGTGGCTGACTCACCTTTGATAGGGGCAGGACGAGGAAAGCTCCACCACCACCCGACTCGGTGATAACAGCAAGAAATTTAGGGTTGGCGGCTGCGAACGGGCGGTCCCACGTCTGTTTGGTAGTTCTGATACAGTCGTAGCACTGGTCGCGTTTCATCGCCTTACCAAACACATGCCGGAACTTACTCTTTCTCATGAAAGCCATCTGAAAGCAGATAAAGAAAAACGTGTGTCACGTCTGCTGGGGGAAATGACACAGGGGCCGGGCAGCATCTCTTCCGCCGACTGTGTTAGACGGGTACTTGCGTCCATCACAATGGCTTAGTGACAACACTCGATAATAGATTGATACCTTTGTGGTTCTTTACATATGAATCCAACCCGGGACGAAGTGTCAAAGTTCTCTGAACGTGTGCTGTTTTCACGCCCTCTGCTGCCGCTTCCTTACTTACTCCGGAAGTATATTACTGCGCATGTACATATCTTCAAGTCGAACTGACTCGTAAAATACCCAAAAAAGGTAAATGATTCATTGATAAAAGATCGAATAAAACTACAGAGTATTCATTACCAATATGTATGTATCATCAGTATGCACAGTTTATATGCATAAAGCTTACTATCACGATGAACGCCATCAGCGTTGCCTAATCGATAAATAATGTACAAGTGGGCGAAGGGAAACAACTCGGATTGATTTTATCAGGCCTGTCTCGGTTCATTGAATGTTGAAAGTTTATTTTATAATTATAAACTCATATTACCTCATTTTTCAAGAAATGATAATTAAACAAAGTAAAAGATAATTTGTTGTGCCAGTTTCTTTTTTACCAGAGTACAGACCAGAAATCTTATGAGTATTTATGATACAAAATTGTGAAACCATAAAAATCAAAGAAACAGAAGTGGCGTAGGAAAACAATTTTCGGAGTGTATATTTGCTTACAGAAGGTCGGGCGTCCGGGGTGCGGAGTGCCGGACGAGGGGAGGGTATAGGAGGGGGAGTTAGCTGAAAAAACCCATTCTACTATATATATATATATATATATATATATATATATATATATATATAGGCCCTAGGAGCAACTTCTCCATAACAATATTTTATCAGATTAAAATTTTAAAGAAGATTTTTTTTTTTATTATTTCTTTCCTTTTTTATGATTTATACGGACGGGGACTTAGATAACAATTCCGTGGCATTACAAATGACTTCATGATTATTCAGCTTATAATGTAGAAATACAATTTTATACGTCTCTGGGCCAATGCAACACATGAACAAATCGTAAAAATTGGCGTGAAAATCTGACGTTGCATGATTTATGACGTCATAAATATGTTATATTAACGTTGGCTGAACTTTACCCAAGATAGACTGCCTGTATGAACTTCGAAATTGTACGCATGTTTACGTTCTTTCAAAAGCAGCACCCCATTTGCCATTTTGCTCGAAAAGTAACAAATGACTGCCTCTATCCTTTCGTTGTGTCTGCTCCGATTTAAAACCAAATAGCGGCCAAATAGCTATCTCAGTGTGTTTTGCGAGTCAATTATAATTGATAATCCTATCTATTCTCTGCTAAAACTGAACTCAGCACGATGAAGCTTTGTATACAGGTCATCATAGGATACCGTTGTGTCCGCTTAAAGTTTTTGAACATCAAGGAGAAAATACTACCATGACATTGAGGATTTCTTATGGATAGTGCATATTTACTTTGCCCCTTTTTGAAATGGATCAGCATTTTGTTGTAATGAATGAAATAGTGATTGTCAATATGACGGTGCTGTAAAAAGAACTTTTGTTAGATTTGGTTTCATGTTACTATACTTTTCTCATAGATTTTATGTGTTCAATCCATCTAGTACTTTTTTTCTGTGATATACTGTAATATTTTATGCCGGATATCGTGGTATGTTGTGGTTCGACTGTAAATAAGCTTGAGAAGAAATCCGCCGATATGTTTGCCCTTTTCTGATCAGTTTGGACGATTTCGTTTTTCTCTCCTTTTAACGCGTAATTCTATGATCCCGGTTTTAGTTTTAGTTCTGGAACTTGCGTGATTCTACAATTTCTTGGGTTTGCTCTTTGCTTCCTTCGCGGTATTTTTTTCTCAATATTCATTTAGCATTTTTTCACTAACGATTTTGCTTTGCTCCTGGTTTAATATATTCAACGTATTTCCCCTCTTCTCGTGTTTCGATGTATCTTTGTCAGGTTCGGTATTCTCGAACTATTGGGCTAACGGTTTGACTATCTTAACAGTGTCCGCAACTAGAGTATGCACGTTCAGTTTGGGACACATATCTGAACAAGATACTAACAAGATAGAGATGGTTCAGCGCAGGGCTGCCCGTTTTGTTACCAACAGACATGCCGTGACGTGACGTGCCTCGAACTCGACTCTGTTCCATTATATATCATGCCACAACACACAATGATAGAATTGGTACAGGTACAAGTGCCTATGATAATTATAACAACCTCGCATGTTCCTCCTCTACCGATTGTTGCTACATACATATTAATTAGGGTTCGTTACGTGACGGAATGATCGGTATTTTGACCTATACACAAGTTTTTCAGAGTAAAATAATAAACATTTTAAAACGATCTAGTAGTAGCTAATATAATGTCACAGGAAGATTGACGACTCGACGTCTTTTATAAATCTCCGCAGTAGACAGCTGTGGTGTAACGGCACCAGTTTTCTGGATGTATTCTAAAAATACTTCTTTGTATTAAAAATAAGTCTATATATACTCACATAGCACAGGGGCGTAGTGATAGTTTCGGATACAGCCAAACTGCTGTATTTATAAATTACGACGATCTGACGGATATACGAATATCTGATCATTTGCTATTTTCTGAACGATATAAATGTATAGAAGCATCTCAGGGGTAATTTTTGTCATTCCATTGCAGCTTTTACTATGTGGTAAAATAGTGTCTTTACAAGTCCCTGTGGTAGACTAGTTGGACCAACTTTCTCTGTTCTAAACACGGCACTGACGTCATCACGCAAGCTATAAACCGACAACAAATATACACACAATAATTGAATGGCGTAATTCCTCTACCTCATCCCTTAGACCAATGGCATTCCTGTTACCAATTTCATCCTAGCTACCATTTTATAGTATATACCTAGTTACCAGTTTTATAGTGTGTATCCCAGTGACCAGTTTGAAAGTGTGTATCCCAGTTACCAGTTTTAGTGTGTATCCCAGTTACCAGTTTAGTGTGTATCCCAGTTACCAGTTTTATAGTGTGTATCCCAGTTACCAGTTTATAGTGTGTATCCCAGTTACCAGTTTTATAGTGTGTATCCCAGTTACCAGTTTTATAGTGTGTATCCCAGTTACCAGTTTTATAGTGTGTATCCCAGTTACCAGTTTTATAGTGTGTATCCCAGTTACCAGTTTTATAGTGTGTATCCCAGTTACCAGTTTTATAGTGTGTATCCCAGTTACCAGTTTTATAGTGTGTATCCCAGTTACCAGTTTTATAGTGTGTATCCCAGTTACCAGTTTTATAGTGTGTATCCCAGTTACCAGTTTTATAGTGTGTATCCCAGTTACCAGTTTTATAGTGTGTATCCCAGTTACCAGTTTTATAGTGTGTATCCCAGTTACCAGTTTTATAGTGTGTATCCCAGTTACCAGTTTTATAGTGTGTATCCCAGTTACCAGTTTTATAGTGTGTATCCCAGTTACCAGTTTTATAGTGTGTATCCCAGTTACCAGTTTTATAGTGTGTATCCCAGTTACCAGTTTTATAGTGTGTATCCCAGTTACCAGTTTTATAGTGTGTATCCCAGTTACCAGTTTTATAGTGTGTATCCCAGTTACCAGTTTTATAGTGTGTATCCCAGTTACCAGTTTTATAGTGTGTATCCCAGTTACCAGTTTTATAGTGTGTATCCCAGTTACCAGTTTTATAGTGTGTATCCCAGTTACCAGTTTTATAGTGTGTATCCCAGTTACCAGTTTTATAGTGTGTATCCCAGTTACCAGTTTTATAGTGTGTATCCCAGTTACCAGTTTTATAGTGTGTATCCCAGTTACCAGTTTTATAGTGTGTATCCCAGTTACCAGTTTTATAGTGTGTATCCCAGTTACCAGTTTTATAGTGTGTATCCCAGTTACCAGTTTTATAGTGTGTATCCCAGTTACCAGTTTTATAGTGTGTATCCCAGTTACCAGTTTTATAGTGTGTATCCCAGTTACCAGTTTTATAGTGTGTATCCCAGTTACCAGTTTTATAGTGTGTATCCCAGTTACCAGTTTTATAGTGTGTATCCCAGTTACCAGTTTTATAGTGTGTATCCCAGTTACCAGTTTTATAGTGTGTATCCCAGTTACCAGTTTTATAGTGTGTATCCCAGTTACCAGTTTTATAGTGTGTATCCCAGTTACCAGTTTTATAGTGTGTATCCCAGTTACCAGTTTTATAGTGTGTATCCCAGTTACCAGTTTTATAGTGTGTATCCCAGTTACCAGTTTTATAGTGTGTATCCCAGTTACCAGTTTTATAGTGTGTATCCCAGTTACCAGTTTTATAGTGTGTATCCCAGTTACCAGTTTTATAGTGTGTATCCCAGTTACCAGTTTTATAGTGTGTATCCCAGTTACCAGTTTTATAGTGTGTATCCCAGTTACCAGTTTTATAGTGTGTATCCCAGTTACCAGTTTTATAGTGTGTATCCCAGTTACCAGTTTTATAGTGTGTATCCCAGTTACCAGTTTTATAGTGTGTATCCCAGTTACCAGTTTTATAGTGTGTATCCCAGTTACCAGTTTTATAGTGTGTATCCCAGTTACCAGTTTTATAGTGTGTATCCCAGTTACCAGTTTTATAGTGTGTATCCCAGTTACCAGTTTTATAGTGTGTATCCCAGTTACCAGTTTTATAGTGTGTATCCCAGTTACCAGTTTTATAGTGTGTATCCCAGTTACCAGTTTTATAGTGTGTATCCCAGTTACCAGTTTTATAGTGTGTATCCCAGTTACCAGTTTTATAGTGTGTATCCCAGTTACCAGTTTTATAGTGTGTGTCCCAGTTACTAGTTTTATAGTGTGTATCCCAGTTACCAGTTTTATAGTGTGTGTCCCAGTTACTAGTTTTATAGTGTGTATCCCAGTTACCAGTTTTATAGTGTGTGTCCCAGTTACTAGTTTTATAGTGTGTATCCCAGTTACCAGTTTTATAGTGTGTGTCCCAGTTACTAGTTTTATAGTGTGTATCCCAGTTACCAGTTTTATAGTGTGTGTCCCAGTTACTAGTTTTATAGTGTGTATCCCAGTTACCAGTTTTATAGTGTGTGTCCCAGTTACTAGTTTTATAGTGTGTATCCCAGTTACCAGTTTTATAGTGTGTGTCCCAGTTACTAGTTTTATAGTGTGTATCCCAGTTACCAGTTTTATAGTGTATCCCAGTTACCAGTTTTATAGTGTGTATCCCAGTTACCAGTTTTATAGTGTGTCCCAGTTACCAGTTTTATAGTGTGTATCCCAGTTACCAGTTTTATAACTAATGCCTTGCCATGTGTTTGGTTTTACCGATGTCATACTCATTACGGATCGCATTCATGCTACCGATGTCATTCTAGCAAGCGACGTCATTCATGTTTTTTCAAATTCCTTTTCTGTTACTGACGTCATAGTTTAACCGATGTTATTCCTGTTACCAAAATGACACCTATGTTACTTAAATGTCACTCCTGATGCAGACGCCATTATTGTTACCTTCTAGCTGGATACTATATTTAGAGGACACAGGCATTCCTGCCTCTAAATCCACGTCAAAATTATGTGAAATACATTGTTATAAACATAAAAATTGATCTATATTTTAGAGGCCAATACTTACTGGCGTAATTCCTGTTATTAATGTCATTCATACTTCTGTAAAATCTTTCATAAAAAAGTCGTTTCTGTTACCGCCATTTATTCTTCATAATCGACATCATTCCAGTTACTGACGTCATTCCTGTTACCTGTTACTGACATTATTCCTATTTTTTGACATCATTCCTGTTACTGACGTAATTTCTGTTACCGACATCGTTCCTCTTACTTGTTACTGACGCCATTCCTGTTTTATTGCTTGTTACTGACGCCATGCCTGTTATGTTACTTGTTACAGACGCCATTCCTGTTATGTTACTTGTTACTGACGCCATTCCTGTTTTGTAAATTGTTACTTACGTCATTCCTGTTACTTGTCACTGATGCCATTCCTGTTTATGTCTTGTAGTTAACATCATTCCTGTTTTATTACTTGTTACTGACGCCATTCTTGCATAAAAATGTCGTTTCTGTTACCGCCATTCATTCTTTATAATCGACATAATTCCTGTTGTTGACATCATTCCTGTTACTTGTTACTGACGCCATTCCTGTTATGTTACTTGTTACTGACGCCATTCCTGTTATTTTACTTGTTACTGACGCCATTCCTGTTTTATAACTTGTTACTGACGCCATTCCTGTTATGTTACTTGTTCCAGACGCCATTCCTGTTATGTTACTTGTTACAGACGCCATTCCTGTTATTTTACTTGTTACTGACGTCATTCCTGTTACTTGTTACTGACGCCATTCCTGTTTTGTAAATTGTTACTGACGTCATTCCTGTTACTTGTTACTGACGTCATTCCTGTTACTTGTTACTGACGTCATTCCTGTTATGTTACTTGTTCCAGACGCCATTCCTGTTATGCTACTTGTTACAGACGCCATTCCTGTTATGCTACTTGTTACTGACGTCATTCCTGTTTTATGACTTGTTACTGACGTCATTCCTGTTATGTTACTTGTTACTGACGTCATTCCTGTTACTTGTTACTGACACCATTCCTGTTATGTTACTTGCTACAGACGCCATTCCTGTTATGCAACTTGTTACTGACGTCATTCCTGTTTTATGACTTGTTACTGACGTCATTCCTGTTTTGTAAATTGTTACTGACGCCATGCCTGTTTTGTAAATTGTTACTGACGTCTTTCCTGTTATGTTACTTGTTACAGACGCCATTGCTGTTATGCTACTTGTTACAGACGCCATTCCTGTTATTGTACTTGTTACTGACGTCAGTCCTGTTATGTTACTTGTTACTGCCGTCCTTCCTGTTACTTGTTACAAACGCCATCCCTGTTTTGTAAATTGTTACTGACGCCATGCCTGTTTTGTAAATTGTTACTGACGTCTTTCCTGTTATGTTACTTGCTACAGCCGCCATTCCTGTTATGCAACCTGTTACTGACGTCATTCCTGTTACTTGTTACAAACGCCATTCCTGTTTTGTAAATTGTTACTGACGTCATTCCTGTTTATGTCTTCTAATTAACATCATTCCTGTTTTATAACATGTTACTGACGCCATTCTTGCATAAAAATGTCGTTTTTGTTACCGCCATTCATTCTTCATAATCGACATTATTCCTATTTTTGACATCATTCCTGTTACTGACGTCATTCCTGTTTTATAACTTGTTACTAACATCATTCCTGTTATGTTACTTGTTACTGACGTCATTCCTGTTACTTGTTACAAACGCCATTATTGTTTTATAACTTGTTACTTACATCTTTCTGGTTATTTTATTTGGTACTGACGCCATTCCTGTTTTATAACTTGTTACTAACATCATTTTTGCTATTTTACTTATTACTGACATCATTCCTGTTACCGACATAATTTTCGTTACTTACTATTTACGTCGTTCCTGTTACCGACGTCCTTCCTGTTACTTTTTACCGACATCATTTCTTTGCCTGACCTGAATCCTGCAACCTCAATGTCATTCCTGATACCTGACATGTACCTAAGACCTTTCCAGTTGCCAGTATCATACTGTACCAATGTCGAGATATGTACATTTCCTTTGTGTACCTTAGTTTTGATACTTCAGAACGTTTTTGTGTTTTGTGTTTTTATCCAACAGAACTAGAATGATTAAGTATCATATTGAATGGTGAAATTATCTTAAAGCAACAGCTATTCTTATAAAACAAGTATGAATTATTAAAATGTCACAATTATGATGTCAAGAAAGTGATTGTTTCACAAGCCTGATAATATAAGAACTTTCTGATTCATGGAAGTACAGCGCTACATACAAGTCACAAAAGGCAAAGCTTCCCATCCATGGATTCAGCTTTGTTATCTTTGATGAGCTATACTGTTCATGGGCTTTACTGCTTTTACAGATATAAACGAAAAGTAAACCTAATTTCGCTCTTTATTTAGTCCATGTGAACTAATATCTTAATCCCCGGCATGTTGTCTGAAAATCAAGAAATACATAAATCATAAAAAACTGAATTAAATGATTTATTCTTCCATACATCACTCATATCACAGACATATCATGCACAGGTTTGTATACATTAAAAAATTATGTTAACATTCAAAACAAAACATTTTGTATATATTAAACATTTAACAAAAATCACTGCCCATTGTGGGTGGCTATAAATACACCAATTGCAACCTCACTGGATAATATCGCTGGATACAATAAAATAACTTTGTAAGTAGTTACTAATTTAAAATATTTCTTTCTCTCTCAAGGATCCCTGTCCTACTGCAGTTTTTTTCATGAACATTTACCTCCCCTGAATTTCGCAGCCAGGACACTTCCATTGACCAGGTAGCTCCTGGTCTAGGCTTTAATTCTTTTTGTCACTCAAACAATTTGTTTGTTTCATTTTTTTTATTTTTTTTAAACTCTCGCAAGGTATGGTTTTCTTTTTAGGAATGATTTATCAGAGCTATAGTCATGCCGAAACCCCCCCCCAGTTTTTAATGCATAGTTACAATTTTTGGCAGTGGTACGGGGATCCTTAAAACCTCTGAAATATAAAAGCCATATCCATACTAGTTTAATGGTTTAAACTGAAATCCTTAATACAAAATAATGTAAATGGCTCCTCTGCTCGAATCTCATGATCGTTTTAATTATAGGTGGAGAACATGCCAAATATAAAATAAAAAATGCTTGTTTAATGTTGTTTATATTTCTGTTATATATAATAAACAAAATATCAAATCTTAGTCTTTAAAGATCTTTTCCAAATTTCTTATACTGCACTCTGCAGCTATGCCTCCATGGGTGCAACCATCTTTACATACATGTATGTAGAAATTGTAGGGACTTGTTCCAGCAATACCATATCCTGGATTTATCTACATGTAGAATCTGTTCAGTCGTGTTACACTTATAGTACTTTTTGCCCATAGAGTCCCTCTTCTCTGCTAATACATGCACGGTAAAACATGTGCTAGCTGTCCCCCTCTCCCCTGGATACATAATTATGTACCTGCCTCCACAATGTGTCCCTCTGCCCCATACTTTATACATGTATACCATGAAATGTTCGCTGCAGTTAAACTTTTGCCTTTTGCATCCTCTATATATAACAAGGACAAATTAATCATGACAGTGAATATCCATACACATTATACAACACGTAGTCATTACATGTGAAGGGCGAAATTAACACTGGGTGTATGTAGATTTAACCAGTGACAGGGAAAGGTTTCCTGGTATACAGTATCTCCCATGATCAGTCTGTATGTCCCATAGCCTGTTCTTCATGGTCTGTTCATCAGACCCCCCCCCCCCTCTCCTCCTACCAATAGTTCTGTTTTCCTTATGATATAACCCTTTCCCACATGATATGTTCTCTCTCTGTCTCACATGATCTGTCCCTTTTTCTCACAGCTTCGTGTTCCTTTTGCAAGTCTTGCCTCGGTATCATGAAACAATATATAGACTCCAGTCCAAATTTGCACAAAGTTAACCCCGACTTGTTCACATGTTCAACAACTTCTCCACTACTACAGTTCAGCACAAACAGGTGCTCCATATCCTGCCCCCCATTGTACATTAGGAGGCACGGTAGTCTAGTGGTAGGACGCCGCCGGGCTCGTGACCGAAGGGTTGCAGGTTTGAGTCACGGCACTGCACTGTGTTGTATCTTTGAGCAAGATACTTTACTCCACTTGTTCCAGTCTACTCAGCTGTAAATTAATATGTGGTTGGGCAGTGCTAGAATTGTTGAATGCAAGCTGTGAGCGCCGAAATGGCAGCTCCAGCTGTATGCTCCCCAGAGATTTGAGAAAGATATTGACTGGTTGCAAAGACCCCATAACCACAGATAATGATTTGTGAACAGCTTTGAGACGACTTATGAACTAGGTTGTGATAAAGCGGTATATAAGACACCACAAATAGTATTATTACATTGCCATATGTCTCGACACTAGTTGTCCTGGGAGATGATTCGCTCAGTCACTGCCTCGTCCTCTGGAAACTCACGGCGTTTTTCATTGTTCATGACGTAGTGTGTACCTGTAAAGCACTCAAAGTATTTGCCAACTTCTGTGTGAGGGATTGTTGACACTGTCTCTGGGATGTCAAGATTTTCTGTAAGAAAAGTTGAGTCATTATCAAACTGATCACACTTTTACCATTGCCTTATGAATCCACAATCTATCACACTAAGTTCAGCCTTTGAATTTTTCAGATTGTCCACAAAATATTCAAAGAGTTTTTACAATTTTTTATCTTTTTTTTTTGGAAAACCAAAAACAGGAATTCAAATAGAATGTTAAAAATAACTTAAATCAACACTCACTGTTTTTTCCGTTTTTTAAAATTTATCATTTTAAGCTTGGTTTACTTAAGTGATCTTGAAAATGGCCCAATTGAGTTCATTTAATGGAACTTAATCAATTGATAGACCATCAACCAAGCAAGCTATATGAAAGTTTTTATGATTCTAGGCCTCAGGCTTTTTTAGCAGTTGTTCATGTTTACGTACAAAATTTGGTTTAGCAGGTAAATGAGAATTTCCTCATTGACCTGAGATTAACACAAATGTATGGTTTATTTTGCCAGTACAATATATTTCTCTTTTATAAAAATCTTCTCGAACTCATTCACAGAAATTTGGTACATGTGTCAACCTTCACAGACTCATACACGTATAAACCCATTACATGTGTATGATTTATTTTCACAAATTCATAAACATGAACTTGGTAAAAATGCATGATATACCACACCACATGTACATCTGACATGTAAGTGACTGTCAGACCAGAGTAAGACACTAGTTTCATGTACATCTGACATGTAAGTGACTGTCACACCACATGTACATCTGACATGTAAGTGACTGTCACACCACATGTTAGCACTAGTTACATGTACATCTGGCATGTAAGTGACTGTCACACCATTGTTAGACACTAGTTACATGTACATCTGACATGTAAGTGACTGTCACACCAATGTTAGACACTAGTTGCATGTACATCTGACATGTAAGTGACTGTCACACCAATGTTAGACACTAGTTGCATGTACATCTGACATGTAAGTGACTGTCACACCAGCGTAAGACACTAGTTTCAATGTCCTTAGCACAGAAGTATGATTGAGCTTCACACACACACACACACACACAAACACACCTAAAAAGAGCATACATGTGTATGATTTATTTTCACAAATTCATAAACATGAACTTGGTAAAAATGCATGATATACCACACCACATGTACATCTGACATGTAAGTGACTGTCACACCAATGTTAGACACTAGTTGCATGTACATCTGACATGTAAGTGACTGTCACACCATTGTTAGACACTAGCTACATGTACATCTGACATGTAAGTGACTGTCACACCAGCGTAAGACACTAGTTTCAATGTCCTTAGCACAGAAGTATGATTTAGCTTCCCACACACACACACACACACAAACACACCTAAAAAGAGCATACATGTGTATGATTTATTTTCACAAATTCATAAACATGAACTTGGTAAAAATGCATGATATACCACACCACATGTACATCTGACATGTAAGTGACTGTCAGACCAGAGTAAGACACTAGTCTCATGTACATCTGACATGTAAGTGACTGTCACACCACATGTACATCTGACATGTAAGTGACTCTCACACCACATGTACATCTGACATGTAAGTGACTGTCACACCATTGTTAAACACTAGTTACATGTACATCTGGCATGTAAGTGACTGTCACACCATTGTTAGACACTAGTTACATGTACATCCGGCATGTAAGTGACTGTCACACCAGCGTAAGACACTAGTTTCAATGTCCTTAGCACAGAAGTATGATTTAGCTTCCCACACACACACACACACACAAACACACCTAAAAAGAGCATACATGTGTATGATTTATTTTCACAAATTCATAAACATGAACTTGGTAAAAATGCATGATATACCACACCACATGAACATCTGACATGTAAGTGACTGTCAGACCAGAGTAAGACACTAGTCTCATGTACATCTGACATGTAAGTGACTGTCACACCAATGTTAGACACTAGTTGCATGTACATCTGACATGTAAGTGACTGTCACACCAATGTTAGACACTAGTTGCATGTACATCTGACATGTAAGTGACTGTCACACCAATGTTAGACACTAGTTGCATGTACATCTGACATGTAAGTGACTGTCACACCACATGTACATCTGACATATAAGTGACTGTCACACCACATGTTAGCACTAGTTACATGCACATCTGGCATGTAAGTGACTGTCACACCATTGTTAGACACTTGTTACATGTACATCTGGCATGTAAGTGACTGTCACACCAGCGTAAGACACTAGTTTCAATGTCCTTAGCACAGAAGTATGATTGAGCTTCACACACACACACACACACACAAACACACCTAAAAAGAGCATAGGTTACTGATATTATCATTTTTTATTCATATCAATAGAGTAAAACTATATTAGACTGTTCTGAAACAATAGGCTCAGAGGGCCTGTATCGCTCACCTGTTGCTTTTGTTACATGAAACTTACATATAGGTAACTTCAGACCAAATTAGGTAACTAGAACACAAGACATTTTAACATCTCTTAAACCCTTCTTAAGATATTGTGGTATGAAATTTCAAATTTTAATTTAAAAGCTTTTAACCCATGTTGACCTTTTACTCGGTTAGCACTTAAAGTTGACATTTGACCTCATTACTGTAATAGAGAAAAATATGCGCACTGCTGGTCTTCATAACATATCCAAGTATCATGATTCTAGACTAGATGTTTCTTAGGATATCGTTGTTTGAAGTTTTTAACATATTTGACCCCTGTGAACTTGAAAGTAGGTCAAAGTCATTTTATTGAGGAAACTTTATAACACTCCATTCCAGGTACCTACTGGTCAAATTGCATGACCCTTGGCTTTATGGAACCTGAGAAGAAGATTGCTAAAGCTTTTAACCAATGTTGACATTTGACCCCTGACTAGCACTTTAAGTTGACCTTTGATCTCATTACTGTAATAAAGAAAAAGATTCGCAATGCTGATCTACATAACATACTCAAGTATCATGACTCTAGTCGAAATGATTCTTAGGTTGTTGTTGTTTTAAGTTTTTAACATATTTGACCCCTGTGACCTTGAAGGAAGGTCAAGGTCATTTTAATGAGGAAACATTATAGCCGAGTACCTACTGGCCAAACATCATGACCCTGGGCCTTATGAAACTTGAAAAGAAGATTGTTGAAACCTTTAACCCTTGTTGACATTTGACCCCTGACTAGCACTTTAAGTTGACCTTTGACCTCATTACTGTTATTAAGGAAAATATTCACAATGCTGGTCTACATAACATATCCATAACTTTACAACTCACCTTGAGCAGCATATCTGCTGGAGCCATCTTCCACTAGGACATTGTAAAAAGGCTGTTGGTGTTTGTTGGGTAGTGTGTGTACCCCCATCTGATTGATCCACTCCTTACTAGCCTCACACTTATGGTCCCAGCCATATATCACACACATGTAGTTATACCTACAACCATACACACATATATAGATGTGTATCTTCAACCACACAGTACATGTGTGATGTACATGTATATACAAATGTACTAACATCACAGATCTGCCCAGTGGTTTTCAACCCAATGCAATACAAAGTTCTGTACTTCACACATTCATTAACAAAGAGGTTGGTACAGGCAATAAGTCAGAATTATCTGGGTGAATATATACATACTGTATGCAGGATGTCAGTCAGGATTATATGTTAGTGAATATCAGCATTAGCAGTCAGTCAGAATTATAGGAAGGTGTGAATATAGGCAGTTAGGAGTATATGGTAGGTGAATTTGAATACAGTGAGAATCCTATATATGTTTGTGAATATAGGCAGTCAGTCAAAATGATAGGAAGGTGAAGGTAAGCAGTCAGCCAGAAGCATATGGTGGTTGATATTAAAATTAATGTAGTCAGTGAGAATTATAAGGGAGTGAAACCTGCCCAGAGTAAACTGTGATTGTATTGGAAACCTACCTCCCCAGAGTTTACTGTGATTGTATAGGAAACCTACCTCCCCCGGGTTTACTGAGATTGTATAGGAAACCTACCTCCCCAGAGTGTACTGTGATTGTATAGGAAACCTACCTCCCCAGAGTTTACTGTGATTGTATAGGAAACCTATCTCCCCAGAGTTTACTGTGATTGTATAGGACACCTACCTCCCCAGAGTTTACTGTGATTGTATAGGACACCTACCTCCCCAGAGTTTACTGTGATTGTATAGGAAACCTACCTCCCCAGAGTTTACTGTGATTGTATAGGAAACCTACCTCCCCAGAGTTTACTGTGATTGTATAGGAAACCTACCTCCCCAGAGTTTACTGTGATTGTATAGGAAACCTACCTCCCCAGAGTTTACTGTGATTGTATAGGAAACCTACCTCCCCAGAGTTTACTGTGATTGTATAGGAAACCTACCTCCCCAGAGTTTACTGTGATTGTATAGGAAACCTACCTCCCCAGAGTTTACTGTGATTGTATAGGAAACCTACCTCCCCAGAGTTTACTGTGATTGTATAGGAAACCTACCTCCCCAGAGTTTACTGTGATTGTATAGGAAACCTACCTCCCCAGAGTTTACTGTGATTGTATAGGAAACCTACCTCCCCAGAGTTTACTGTGATTGTATAGGAAACCTACCTCCCCAGAGTTTACTGTGATTGTATAGGAAACCTACCTCCCCAGAGTTTACTGTGATTGTATAGGAAACCTACCTCCCCAGAGTTTACTGTGATTGTATAGGAAACCTACCTCCCCAGAGTTTACTGTGATTGTATAGGAAACCTACCTCCCCAGAGTTTACTGTGATTGTATAGGAAACCTACCTCCCCAGAGTTTACTGTGATTGTATAGGAAACCTACCTCCCCAGAGTTTACTGTGATTGTATAGGAAACCTATCTCCCCAGAGTTTACTGTGATTGTATAGGAAACCTACCTCCCCAGAGTTTACTGTGATTGTATAGGAAACCTACCTCCCCAGAGTTTACTGTGATTGTATAGGAAACCTACCTCCCCAGAGTTTACTGTGATTGTATAGGAAACCTACCTCCCCAGAGTTTACTGTGATTGTATAGGAAACCTACCTCCCCAGAGTTTACTGTGATTGTATAGGAAACCTACCTCCCCAGAGTTTACTGTGATTGTATAGGAAACCTACCTCCCCAGAGTTTACTGTGATTGTATAGGAAACCTACCTCCCCAGAGTGTACTGTGATTGTATAGGAAACCTACCTCCCCAGAGTTTACTGTGATTGTATAGGAAACCTACCTCCCCAGAGTTTACTGTGATTGTATAGGAAACCTACCTCCCCAGAGTTTACTGTGATTGTATAGGAAACCTACCTCCCCAGAGTTTACTGTGATTGTATAGGAAACCTACCTCCCCAGAGTTTACTGTGATTGTATAGGAAACCTACCTCCCCAGAGTTTACTGTGATTGTATAGGAAACCTACCTCCCCAGAGTTTACTGTGATTGTATAGGAAACCTACCTCCCCAGAGTTTACTGTGATTGTATAGGAAACCTACCTCCCCAGAGTTTACTGTGATTGTATAGGAAACCTACCTCCCCAGAGTTTACTGTGATTGTATAGGAAACCTACCTCCCCAGAGTTTACTGTGATTGTATAGGAAACCTACCTCCCCAGAGTTTACTGTGATTGTATAGGAAACCTACCTCCCCAGAGTTTACTGTGATTGTATAGGAAACCTACCTCCCCAGAGTTTACTGTGATTGTATAGGAAACCTACCTCCCCAGAGTTTACTGTGATTGTATAGGAAACCTACCTCCCCAGAGTTTACTGTGATTGTATAGGAAACCTACCTCCCCAGAGTTTACTGTGATTGTATAGGACACCTACCTCCCCAGAGTGTACTGTGATTGTATAGGAAACCTACCTCCCCAGAGTTTACTGTGATTGTATGGAAACCTACCTCCCCAGAGTTTACTGTGATTGTATAGGAAACCAACCTCCCCAGAGTTTACTGTGATTTTATAGGAAACCTACCTCCCCAGAGTTTACTGTGATTGTATAGGAAACCTACCTCCCCAGAGTTTACTGTGATTGTATAGGACACCTACCTCCCCCGAGTTTACTGTGATTGTATAGGAAACCTACCTCCCCCGAGTTTACTGTGATTGTATAGGAAACCTTTCAATCAGCTTTACCTTTTGTGACACATCACCAGGCCTACTGAGAACAGCACTTCTTTGTTGGTTTCATCTGATCTCATCTTTGGAATGATCTGACAAAAATAACTTAGTGTATTAAGTAAGTTCAAACAAATCAATGACTTTATCACACTTATCTACAGATATTTATTACAAGCCAGCTGGTAAATCCTATTTCAGTGATACAAACATTTTTCAGGCCATCCAATTACAAGGTCTGTATTTCACATTGTGATAATACAAAAAGTATTACCCCAGTAACCAGAACTCCAAACGAATGGAGCTTGTCAGTTGTTATTCGCTGATCAAACCATGGTTTACCAAGACATGGGCTCCAGACATTTTAGAGCCATTTTGCACAATTCTAACACAACATGCCCTCAATGTTGTTTTGTTTGTTATCAATATGCAGTTCATTGAGTATTAATATGGGGTTACGATAGGTAATATATTGCATACAATATCAAATGCATACAGAGAACAAATGTAGGTACATGTATGTCATAAAAGCAATATTTCACACATATTTGCCTTTACCTGATGTCTCTGATTACGCTTGTACATTGTGTGAATGGATAGGTTTCACTTGGTTTAAAGCTCCTGTGAAATATAACCATATACATGCAATGCACTCGTGCAACCTGACTTGTCAGATGAACTTGTGTGGTATTGCCTATGTTCAGTCATGTACTTTAAGTATGCATCACTTGTAATTCTAAATATATATCTCATATTTCTCTTTAAAAAAAAAAAGATACATATATCTGTATAATATAATGTATCTCGTTTCTGGTTTGGTTTGTTTGTGTTTACATCCTATCAACAGCTATAGTCATTTAAGGACGGGTCAGATTTTGCAGGTGAAGGAAAACCAGAGTGCCCAGAGAAAAATTACCAACAGTATCTGATGATCACTGACCCACATAAGCTTTGAAACCATGACCAAGTGGTGCAGGGCTAGTGACTGCACACAGACAGTCTGACACCTCAACCACTCGGCAAGCGCAACTCAGTGTTGGGGGACTAGTGATCTTAGATGGTCAGACACCTTAACCACTTGGCCACTGCAATCCAGTGTTGGAGGACTAGTGATCATGGATGGTCAGACACCTTAACCACTTGGCAAGTGCAACTCAGTGTTGGAGGACTAGTGATCATAGATGGTCAGACACCTAATTAACCACTTGGCCACTGCGACCCAGTGTTGGAGGACTAGTGATCTTAGATGGTCAGACACCTAATTAACCACTTGGTCACTGCAATCCAGTGTTGGGGGACTAGTGATCATAGATGGTCAGACACCTTAACCACTCGGGCACTGCAATCCAGTGTGGAGGGCTAGTGATCTTAGATGGTCAGACACCTTAACCACTCGGGCACTGCAATCCAGGGTTGAGGGCTAGTGATCTTAGATGGTCAGACACCTTAACCCCTTGGCCACTGCAATCCAGTGTTGGAGGACTAGGGATCTCAGATGGTGAGACACCTAATTAACCACTTGGCCAGTGCAATCCAGTGTTGGAGGACTAGTGATCTTAGATGGTCAGACACCTTAACCACTCGGGCACTGCGACCCAGTGTTGGAGGCCTAGTGATCATAGATGGTCAGACACCTTAACCACTCGGGCACTGCGACCCAGTGTTGGAGGCCTAGTGATCATAGATGGTCAGACACCTTAACCACTCGGGCACTGCGACCCAGTGTTGGAGGCCTAGTGATCATAGATGGTCAGACACCTTAACCACTTGGCCACACTAGTGATCTTAGATGGTCAGACACCTAATTACCCACTTGGTCACTGCAATCCAGTGTTGGGGGACTAGTGATCTTAGATGGTCAGACACCTTAACCACTCGGGCACTGCGACCCAGTGTTGGAGGCCTAGTGATCATAGATGGTCAGACACCTTAACCACTCGGGCACTGCAATCCAGTGTTGAGGGCTAGTGATCTTAGATGGTCAGACACCTTAACCACTTGGCCACTGCAATCCAGTGTTGGGGGACTAGTGATCATAGATGGTCAGACACCTTAACCACTTGGCCACTGTAATCCAGTGTCGGGGGACTAGTGATCATAGATGGTCAGACACCTTAACCACTCGGCCACTGCAATCCAGTGTTGGTGGACTAGTGATCTTAGATGGTCAGACACCTTAACCACTTGGCCACTGTAATCCAGTGTCGGGGGACTAGTGATCATAGATGGTCAGACACCTTAACCACTTGGCCACTGCAATCCAGTGTTGGGGGACTAGTGATCATAGATGGTCAGACACCTTAACCACTTGGCCACTGCAATCCAGTGTTGGGGGACTAGTGATCATAGATGGTCAGACACCTTAACCACTTGGCCACTGCAATCCAGTGTTGGGGGACTAGTGATCATAGATGGTCAGACACCTTAACCACTTGGCCACTGCAATCCAGTGTTGGGGGACTAGTGATCATAGATGGTCAGACACCTTAACCACTTGGCCACTGCAATCCAGTGTTGGGGGACTAGTGATCATAGATGGTCAGACACCTTAACCACTTGGCCACTGCAATCCAGTGTTGGGGGACTAGTGATCATAGATGGTCAGACACCTTAACCACTTGGCCACTGCAATCCAGTGTTGGGGGACTAGTGATCATAGATGGTCAGACACCTTAACCACTTGGCCACTGCAATCCAGTGTTGGGGGACTAGTGATCATAGATGGTCAGACACCTTAACCACTTGGCCACTGCAATCCAGTGTTGGGGGACTAGTGATCATAGATGGTCAGACACCTTAACCACTTGGCCACTGCAATCCAGTGTTGGGGGACTAGTGATCATAGATGGTCAGACACCTTAACCACTTGGCCACTGCAATCCAGTGTTGGGGGACTAGTGATCATAGATGGTCAGACACCTTAACCACTTGGCCACTGCAATCCAGTGTTGGGGGACTAGTGATCATAGATGGTCAGACACCTTAACCACTTGGCCACTGCAATCCAGTGTTGGGGGACTAGTGATCATAGATGGTCAGACACCTTAACCACTTGGCCACTGCAATCCAGTGTTGGGGGACTAGTGATCATAGATGGTCAGACACCTTAACCACTTGGCCACTGCAATCCAGTGTTGGGGGACTAGTGATCATAGATGGTCAGACACCTTAACCACTTGGCCACTGCAATCCAGTGTTGGGGGACTAGTGATCATAGATGGTCAGACACCTTAACCACTTGGCCACTGCAATCCAGTGTTGGGGGACTAGTGATCATAGATGGTCAGACACCTTAACCACTTGGCCACTGCAATCCAGTGTTGGGGGACTAGTGATCATAGATGGTCAGACACCTTAACCACTTGGCCACTGCAATCCAGTGTTGGGGGACTAGTGATCATAGATGGTCAGACACCTTAACCACTTGGCCACTGCAATCCAGTGTTGGGGGACTAGTGATCATAGATGGTCAGACACCTTAACCACTTGGCCACTGCAATCCAGTGTTGGGGGACTAGTGATCATAGATGGTCAGACACCTTAACCACTTGGCCACTGCAATCCAGTGTTGGGGGACTAGTGATCATAGATGGTCAGACACCTTAACCACTTGGCCACTGCAATCCAGTGTTGGGGGACTAGTGATCATAGATGGTCAGACACCTTAACCACTTGGCCACTGCAATCCAGTGTTGGGGGACTAGTGATCATAGATGGTCAGACACCTTAACCACTTGGCCACTGCAATCCAGTGTTGGGGGACTAGTGATCATAGATGGTCAGACACCTTAACCACTTGGCCACTGCAATCCAGTGTTGGGGGACTAGTGATCATAGATGGTCAGACACCTTAACCACTTGGCCACTGCAATCCAGTGTTGGGGGACTAGTGATCATAGATGGTCAGACACCTTAACCACTTGGCCACTGCAATCCAGTGTTGGGGGACTAGTGATCATAGATGGTCAGACACCTTAACCACTTGGCCACTGCAATCCAGTGTTGGGGGACTAGTGATCATAGATGGTCAGACACCTTAACCACTTGGCCACTGCAATCCAGTGTTGGGGGACTAGTGATCATAGATGGTCAGACACCTTAACCACTTGGCCACTGCAATCCAGTGTTGGGGGACTAGTGATCATAGATGGTCAGACACCTTAACCACTTGGCCACTGCAATCCAGTGTTGGGGGACTAGTGATCATAGATGGTCAGACACCTTAACCACTTGGCCACTGCAATCCAGTGTTGGGGGACTAGTGATCATAGATGGTCAGACACCTTAACCACTTGGCCACTGCAATCCAGTGTTGGGGGACTAGTGATCATAGATGGTCAGACACCTTAACCACTCGGCCACTGCAATCCAGTGTTGGAGGACTAGTGATCTTAGATGGTCAGACACCTTAACCACTCAGCCATCGCGATCCAGTGGTAATAGGCTAGTGTTGGTAGATGGTCAGACACCTTAACCAGTCGGCTACCGCGACCCAGTGGTGAAAGGCTAGTGATTGTAGATGGTCAGACACCTTAACCACTCAGCCACTAGTACTGTGGCCGGTTGGTGAAAGGCTAGTGATTGTAGATGGTCAGACACCTTAACCACTCAGCCACCGTGGCCCATTGGTGAAAGGCTAGTGATGGTAGATGGTCAGACACCTTAACCACTCAGCCACTAGTACTGTGGCCGGTTGGTGAAAGGCTAGTGATGGTAGATGGTCAGAAGCCTTAACCACTCAGCCACCGTATGTATCGTGATATTGATTGTTGTATGACTACGATTATATGTATTTCTGTATGCATCATGATACAAATCTCTTCTGTATCTCTCTGTGTATCCCTGAATGTATCTTTATTTAGTGAGTATATTTAGAGTGTTGTATGCATTACTGAAGTATTTTAAGAGTTATGTGCATATCACTAAGTATACTTATTGATCTGTATGAGTTACAGAACTATACATAGAGACCTCATACCTCCTTGTTTTTCTTCTCTTTGTACGTCTGTTCCTGTTCCTCTACTGTATTTCTCAGGTAATTTATCAGTGGAGCATGGGACACGTCCAATTCTGCTATCCTCTCCAGCATATGGGATGTCTGGTCAAAAGTCAGCACAAAGAATGATGTCATAAGAAAACTGATATTTTGAAATAATTAATTATCATATCACATCATTAGTGTTTGCCTGTCATTGTAATAACAGTTTCACATGATTTTATTCTTACATGACATTAATACAAGTAATTAATTAAACTCTATTTATTTTACAACAATTGGGAAACAAGTTCTACCACTCATGTGGTCGTGCAGGTGACCCCATACCCATACGTGTGATTGAGGAACCAAACCCTGTTCATCTTGAGGAAAGGTTTAAAATATGTAACAGTTATTGCAATGTCACATGTAATAATATTATGAAATCATGAATTTGATTTGCAAGGTAAAACAAGGCAGCATTCTTCTGAGGTTTTTGAAATTTTATATCTGACAAAATATGTCTATACGGTTAGAATTATTTTCGACCGGAATTGATTTTTTTTTTTATGTAATTCATAGTTTTGGTTAAAGTGTTGTTTGCCGAGGAAGCTTCCTGCTTAATCTTATTGAAATTGGATACTTTAATAATTGAGGAGATCTCACCCAGCTTAGGTTGATACCCAGGTGAAGGTTGACACGGACACTCAGTAGTAACATATCTACATCATTTGGAGACAGGATAAGGGCAAGATCAAGTGCATTCCTCAGACTAAGTAAACCATTCCCAACATTGCTCTGCTGGCGGCCAATACCAATCAGGTTACGACACATCCTCTTGTACACCTACAACATATATATACATAGATACATATCAGCACACTCAGTAGTAACATATCTACATCATGTGGAGACAGGATAAGGGCAAGATCAAGTGCATTCCTCAGACTAAGTAAACCATTCCCAACATTGCTCTGCTGGCGGCCAATACCAATCAGGTTACGACACATCCTCTTGTACACCTACAACATATATATACGTAGATACATATCATATATTATAGAAAAACCATGTAGAGCAAAAAGTAAATCTCCATTTTGTATATAATATACAAAACGAAAATTTACTCTTTGCTCTACAGGGTTTTTCTATTGGGCAAATTCTCACCTTTACAAAGTCAATTCCATTGGAAAAAAGTTTTTTTTGTTTTCCCTATAGGGTAACTTTTGAGATAAATCTTACCTTTACAGGGTCTATTCCTGAGAACACTTCTGTGGTAAGGAACACATTTTCTGGTAATCCAAAGGCACTAGGTAACTCTTCCTGAGTATAGAATTTCCCCTGGTGGAAGGCATCTATATATGTGAACTGCTGATTTGGTGAGGCCCTGCAATTTAAAAATGTGTTGTTTTTCTCACTTGTGCCTGGAGGTAACCTTGGGTTACATTTCAAATATACAAGTTTAAAAGCATAAACTGGGTCTATGCTACTTTATGTGAGCTAAAACTTGTATGTATAGTTACATTTGTATAGTGACCTTATTTTTAACCCCAGAAGCTTGAAACGTGAACGTGCACAAGATATGATGTTTGTTTTATGACAATCAATAAGTAATACAGTGCGAAGGCATTGTCAAGGATGTTCGACAGTGTGTATTTACAACTGACAGATCACTCTAGACCCTTCATGACTTGTTGTGAAATTATAATATTCATCCACAATAGTTATGAGTGTAAGTGATCCTACTGTTACGTGGCTTACATTGGGTGCTCCTTCCATTTGATTAACAGATGTTGGGGGAAGTTAATCAGTTGACATGTGACACCCAGTCTCCTAGCAACTGCAGCATACACAATGGCTAGCGTGATGGGGATACCGAGGCCTCTCTCCAACACCTGTATATAACACATACCTACAGTTACAGTGGTGTTTTCTGGTACATAACAGACATATGAGGGGCACATTATCCCAGTCAGATGTCACAAGATTTACATTAAACAGTGACTTTCCAAGTCAAATGTGATAAGACACTAGTTCTGTGTCTAACAGAAATACAATCTCAACTAAAGAACAATGCTTGATACAGGCTCAGCTTAGAATATAGGTAACTCAATGATAAACTGATGTACATGTATATTAATGTTTTATAACCACTTTACTCGCCCAACGCTAACACTAACCTAGCCACCAGATATAAACTACACTGACTCACAGTCTGTTTAAATATCTTAAGTTTCTAGTACTATTTTCCCCAGCTACTGTGTTATTCTCAGATCATATAAATTTTCCATCATACTGCAATTAGTAATTTGAGAAAGAAAGACAGGTCACCTTATGGATATAGGAATTGAGCTCATCGTAGTAGTTGTTTTCGTCGCCCCGTAATTTGTGATCGTGGAACAGAACACTGTTTAAGGTCTCCAACAATGTCCGCTCTTGTTCCGAGCTCCATTCTCCCGTTGGCTTATCTAAACACGGCAATCAATCTTTAACTGAATCAACTTACTTTTTCAGAATGATCAAAATAATGGTTCAAGAAAAAAACCATAGCAATGATCCTGCTGTTATTTTTGTTTCAGTAGAACAGTTTACTATACCAGTATATTACTTTCAGCTGCTTTTATAGAAACCTCCAAAGAATTTAGGATTTTGGTTCTGAATATTCAGACATTATCACCGCAGTAAATTCATGCATAATACGAAAGATCAATACTCAGAAGTTGATTAAATTATAAAATTATTATAACTCGATTGTGTCGCACTGGTTCAAATTTAACCATACTACATGTATCAGTGTGACCTCAATTAAATCATCTAGGTTTGACTTTATCTGAATTTGTAAGTAAAGGCTTAATAAATTCAAACTAAAATATGCATCAACGTATAGGTCATACTAAATATTAAATATCAATTCTCTGAATGAAAATAGATTTGAAAAGATAAATAGCATGAAAGACCTACAAGATAACCAAGAAAAGATACATAGATATTAAAATATATATAGGGCCCCTGAAGGTCCTAGTCGACCAAACAATTTGAAATTCAAAGTACATGTACTAATTCTAATGATGATTCATATTGAATTTAGTCCCATGAGAAATAATAGCACTTTATGCTCGGCAATTTAAAATACTGTACCATCTGTGAAGTTGCTGGCTATACTTTGAGGACACTTGGCAATGACTTGAGTAGCCATTTGGTCAAGGGAGTCATACACATCGTTTTCAATGATGTTTTCTGTTGGCTGGCACCATTGTGACAAGAGGATGGCACCTGTTAAATACAAACAAATATATTAGAATGGATATCATGCTGTTTGGTTCATCCCTATTAAAACTCTTCTTTTTTCAAAGCGTCTCTTCTCGACTTGTTTAATGCAAGTTTAGATGGCATAGCTATATATAGGCTGATACATGAGTGAGGATGATACTATGGTTACCTCTGATAAGAGTCAGATATTGTTTTTGATCTGATGTTGGGGACCTAAATCTGCAATGCTGAGACCAGCAATGCAAACTTTTTGTCCCGAGGTTGGATATCTATATAGTCCCAGATAACAAGGTGACTGGTCTTCAGGACTATCTAGTGTGATGATGAAGATGACGATGATGATGACGATAGTTACCTGTTTCCAGCCACTGATTACAAGGCTGCTGGTCCTCAAGGTGGGCCTTCCATTTTTTCTGCAGGTAATGGTGTTGAATATTTCTTAAAACTTTGGCTGCATAAAACTTCTTTGTTAGGTTGCATCGACTGCGAAAACAAACATGATACACAGTTTACTGTAAACAGCAATCAATTGATATAAATTTGTATACATTTTACAAAACATAGAGAAGACTGACTAACTAGCATACTGTGGAAAGCTGTTTCATTTATTATACAATTTAATTAATGTTGTTCATGGGAAGTCAGCTTTTTAGGCAAGACAGGGACATATGATAAAGTACAGTATAATGTTTCAAAAAACAGAATCGAAATACTGAAATGTTTTTGATTTCTTTATTTTGTAATATTGACAATAATTTGGTTCCAGATTGTATTGAAAGGTGTCAAATGAAATGTGAATCATATACATTTGGTATTGGAATTTTGACATGATATCAAAAAAAAAATCATAGTTCTGAATCAGCATACCTGTAGCCTTAAAATCTGCTTATTGGTTGATAGTTGGACTATGTGTTTTATTCTGATGCAGTTATTTCCATTCTTACTTTGGTGATTTTAAATCAGGTTTACATATAAAAAAAAATACGGAAACTTTCACACAAAAAACACAGGTTTTCTTAGCTTTTATGATGTTGGTCCAAACTCTAACTGTTGAAACAATCAATATAGGTTAAAACTTACACAACGCCTTGTGCTTCATATTTTAAAAACCTACCTTTGTTGGTCATGAAAAATTTCCATTAATGAGTTCAGAACGATTTCTCCAGCATTGCACTCATCTAAAAGCTGTATAAAACTTTCAAAGCCTTCCTCTGAGACCTCTTCACAGCTATAGTATGTAGGGGACAAACTCTCCACCAAACTTCCCACTTTTTGTCCAATCACATAACATTTTCGGAATTCAACCGACCAATCATGCAACTGTGACCTACTGTAGCGTTGTACAAGTCCGGGCCACCTGTCCATGTATAGACATACAGGTATTAAACATAATTCTAGTGGACCTCATCAATATGTTTCTTTTAATTAGTTTGAAAATGTTTCTTGAATATATATTTCTTTCATTAATTTGTAATGGTTCTTGCATATTATTATATGTATTATAATGTTAAATTGAAAGTTATAATTCATGCCTGTTATTATTTGGTTAATTTGGAAAGTTTCATATGATTTTGTTAATCTTTGTATATAGAACTGTCTAGGGGCAGAAAGGAGTATGAGAAAAGTGTGTTCAAAGTTTCTATATCAAACCCAGATTTCACGTGTGTGATGTCACAGATAGGACAAAAATAACAAAACACATGATGTCATAAAATGGAAATTCTGATGCCACGATGCAAAACTACTGATGTGATAAAATTATAAAACCGAACACACCATAATGTAAGCCAATATATGTCAGAAAGGGTTTGGTTGATTTGGAAAAATGGCAAGGCATGCCACTGGTTTTACTATGTGAAATGGCTTTTGAATGACCCTTGAATGGCTTTTCCCTATCGTATCATATCAATGGCACCAGTTTGTATCGGTAGGGTGTTGTGAATAGAATGTGTGCGTTAACTGGGGATTGACCCGCGATTCCGGCCTTTTTAGCTGGACACTCTACTCCAGAGCTAAAGGGAATTTCCCTCTAGCCAAAGCTGGTAAAGGGACTTTGACACTACTTTGTACATGTAAATTGTATGTACATAGGTACAAATTCAATGTGTACCCTTCACCATAATATATATATGGTATAAGATGATTCCTGTAGGAACTCTATCTAAATCAGAGATTTATAACGATAGAAACTCTATCGTTATAAATCTCTGATTTAGATGTGAGAGTTCCTACAGGAAATAGGTATAAGACAGATCTGCTATCAAATCAAATCTTTTCATATTTTACATTGCCAGAGCTGTTTAAGGATAAGGATACTAGACCAATCGAGTAAGTATTTGTTTTCCTTCTTTGTCTAACAAAAAGAAAACTCTCAAAATAGTAGAAGCGAAAAAGGACAAAGAGAAAATGTAACAACCAGACCGTGGTGCGAACCCCGGAACCCTCCGAAATGTAGTAGGATGCTCTACCAATAGAGCTACACATGGTCACTGACGATCAACCCAATCCAGTTTTCGCTACACTAGTACTCCTCCCTCTCTTATCTAAGCCCTGCCCCAAAGACACAACTATTCACAACCCAAGTTATGGTATCCCTTTGCTAAGCGTTACTATTCCCAATGATTGAAACAAAGGTTGGCAAATTCGCCAATTTTGTAACAGGAGAAAGAGAAAACGTAACGACCAGACCAGGGTTCGAACCGTGACCCTCCGAACTCTAGACAGACGCTCTACTGATTGAGCTACCTGGTCGCCGACGATCGACCCAGTCCAGTCCCGCTCCAGGCTAACAGAAGTTTGAACCTATTTGTCAACTCTCGATATTCAGCTGTTCAGAGGCCATTCGCAGGTTGGGCACAACGGCGCATATGGGTAATAGTCCTGCATTTGGGTAACATCTTTGTATGTTATGGTTGAATGCACTTCGAATCTACTTTCACTATCCTATATAAAAAATCAAAATTTTGTACTTCAATATCTTTATCAAAAATCGCTTTTTGTATGGTTATTATAAACAACTTTTGGTTGAACGTTTTTTCGTGTTTTGACATTTTCGTGATTTTAGATGTCCCGACTTTTCTAAGGCTTCAAAGGTCGTGAAATACTTTCAAAACCGAAAACTGTTCCACCAAAAGTTGTTTGTAATGACTAATAGATATGGCGATTTTCAATAACGTAAGTGAAGCACAAAATTTTGATTTTTTATATAGGATAGTGAAAGTAGATTCGAAGTGCATTCAGCCATAACATACAAAGATGTTACCCAAATGCAGGATTATTACCCATATGCGCCGTTGTGCCCAACCTGATTCGTGCGGTCTAGTATATTTTGAATCACGCTTCGATCTTTGCATGACAAACGCTCTGTGTAACTTCAGAAGGCCTAGTAGGAGGTTGGGGGCTTTTCAGTAAGGCCAGTTAAACTTCTATGACGTCTTATCACGGAACTAGATTAGAGGGATGCTATATATATCCAACTCCGTGGTTCTTATGCCTGATTTTTACCTCTGTTGCATTTTCTGCCTCCACAGTTCCTTACTTTGACAGACATTATTTATGTTTGTGCATGTTTGTGAAATGCTGCAAATATCTTTAACTGTCAAAATATTATTCTGCAAAATTAAATCTATTATTTCATGAGGAAGATCAAGAAAATTAATCTCAAAGTCGACGTTCAGTGAGGACTCTCCGCCTGTGTCGGCCATCTTTGTTGTTTACGTGGGGACCTCTCCGTGTTTACATTTGAAGTGATAAAAATAAAAAAATAAATATTTTGTAAAATATGTTGACAAAATGTATTGTTTTTCATCATGACTTTAATCTAAAAATTCAAATATTTTAGTCTTTTATCACGTTTTATTAACTAACATTCACTTAGAATGGGAGCATTTCATATAAAAGCAAGAAGCCACTACATATAGAGTTGTCGTTCGTTACCTACAGGGGTCAAGTTCATAAGTAAACTCTGGCATATAATTTAACATGAGATTTTAACTGATTATGCTCTTGAGACCCTGGTTAAACTCTCTGGTTGGTCAATGTCATTTATTTGAAAAGAAACTTGATTATTTAGAATCGTTGAAAAAAATATCACTGTAACCACTAATTCAGTGCTGTAACTTTGAAAGTTGTTTAGGGTCATTAATTTGAAGAAAAAAACCCAGTTACATTTGAAGTATATACGTCTCTGCCGGATAAAACAAGGAAAAACTTGAGTCTCTAAGCCATCAATCGATATATTTAGAAAAAAAATCGACTTCAATCTTAATTTTCACGCATGTGCATGACTCCCAAGGCCAAGCTTTTGATTTCTGAACTAAGAAACGAACGTACATTTTTGTGTAGATCACTACTGATAAAGATTGGAAGGCAGACAATGTGAACTTTGTCAACCTCTCTTAGTTTAAACTTTATTTTATTATCGGTATAATATTCTAGTAATACAAACAACAAGTACAAAGTACTTAAATGTTAGTCCGTCTCCAGGCTGAAACCACCACACAGATCTAGACGGTCCTTCATTTAAGTAGAAATATGAGTTACAAATGTACTTTCTTCTTCACTAAATACAAAATGTATATCAATTGACTTTATAAATGAGTTTTCAGGCGAAGGACAAACAAACACTCCATTATCTAGGATACTCATGTACACTTAATTTGTGTACTGAACCGTAAGGACAAAACATACAAACCAACTACACTTAAGGATTTTATAGGAAAAAAATCAAACCAGGCCACTAACCAACATACGTTCTCTTTATACAGGATCCTGGCAAGAGCGAGCTTGTAAGACCAACAAGATACACATGTAAGATTGATAAGGGTCGTTTTTATTTCTAAGAAAAAAACGATAGTTATAGAATGTTACGTAATCTCTTTATTTTCAGTTCTGAAAGATGTCGAACCACTAACCAACATAACTCCTATATAGTGTTTATATTATTTAATTTGTATTTCTTGCTGACAAGGTAGACGTTACAATCAACAACACATATGTAAATTTGAGATTTTTATTTAAACATATTTTATTGCAGTTTGCGATGGGACTAGGCACTCGTTACCCCAACCTATGGAGCCTTCCCCAAGAAATATTTTACACAACGTACATGACAACATCAACAATAAAATTTACACCAATCATCAATGAGAGTGAAACAGAATTTTGAGATACAGACGATATGTTGCTTTGTTGTGTTGCTGAGGAACAAGTGTTTTTGTAGGTATATGTATTAAACCGTTAGTTTTTCCGTTTTAAGTGGGGTTTTAAATTGTCTCTTTAATGCCTTATTTCTGCATCTCTTCTTTCTGTTCCCTTTAACTTGTATTTCTCCCTTCTCTTCGATTACTCCATCACTTGTCAGCAGTCTGTGTGGGGTGTTTCTTTTCCTCTGGGTGACTTTACTTGTACTGTCCGCACTTGCTTTTTGAGGCAAAAACAAATTGTCAATGTCATTGTTCCAAACGCTGTGCTCAACTATGTCCGAGTCCATAACAAGTTCCAATCGATCGCAGCTTAGTAAGCTGATCAACAATTCCGGGTTATCTATATCTGGCAAAGACTCAAGTGGAAGTTGAAGTTCATTAAATGATGGTATCGTGGGTTGGGCAATGTCTACAGAAAACACAGCAACCGATTCTTCGTGAGCAAGGGAGAGGGGGATACTTGGTGTTAGGCCAACTGATGTCCGATATGTTATGGTTGTGGGTACATAACCAACAGTAGACGCTTCCGGAGAGATGGAAAGAGGGATACACGGTATTACCGGTAGTGAACGTTCTGCTGTTGTGGTTGCTCATCCGTAGACGCTTCCAGAGAAGTTGAGAGAGAAATACGAGGAGACAATGAAATTTGCTCGGACGTTGCCGTAGATGTCGGACGATCTGTTGGCTCTGATGTGGCGAAGGACAGCTGTGGGATTGAATGGGAATACTCCACACGTCCTAAACCCGTTCACAATGTTCTTGTGTGTGAACGAAGTATCCCATGCCGTCTTAACTAACCCAGGAAAACTCCATTTTGTTACTGTGTTGAGCGGATTTTGACCAAGATAGTCAGAACACGCAGTGTGTAGGCTGTACTAAACGGTCCGAAGACTGGAGGATGTGCGTAGTGTGGGGAGGGAGGCATACTATAGATACGTCATTTTCTTTAGCAAGTTCGAGGATAGCTAATGATTCGTGAGATGAATGTTCATCTAAAAGCAAAAACTGAGGCCTCTCATCTCCACACTCGCTTAAAAAATAATCCCGGAACGACTCCCCACCAATCTTGTCGGTCATCCAACCGTTATCTTAATGGGTCCAGTTTGTCCCGGATGGAGCGGCCGCCGTGTTAAAACCATGTATGGACATGTTTGTCTTACCCCTCACAATGAACATAGGGGACATGGACCTGCCTGTCGTATTCACGCACGCCATTGTGGAGACATTTGTCCTATTATTCCCAGTACGACCGACAACATCTTTAGAGGATTTGTCTGCTATAGCCCGAACTGGCGAGTGCTCAAAGCTACGACCCGTCTCCTCGCAGTTCCAAATTGATTGGGGCTTATTACTAAGGTTGAGTGACGCAATTAATTCCCCCAGAGACTCCATACATATGCTGACAACAGTTGGATTCAACATCCGGCTCTTGATGCTGCCAGTTTTTCCGGACGGCGAATATGAAACTCTGGGTGACGCTTTTTAACCCCTTCCCACCACTGGTTGGAGGGAGCGATATTCTTAAAGGGGGTAACTCGGTACCTCCGACTATGGCAAGCCAAGTTGTCATTTATTCATGGAGCAATGTTGATCCAGTACTTAACCAAACTATATAAGATATCTTATAAAAGATATAAGATATCTTATTATGATATATCTTATATAATATATAAGATATCTTATTAAGTATATAAGATATCTCATTTAGTATATATGATATCTTATAAAGTATATAAGATATTTCATTTAGTATATATAAGATATCTTATATAACTTGGTTAAGTACTGGATCAACATTGCTCCATTTATAAATGACGACTTGCCATATCCGACAGAGATCTCCGGTCCTTGTCAGGAGCTGTCGCCTTGTTATGCCTATCGCCTGCTATGCCGCAGCCTTCACTGTGTCCAGGTGGTCGGCCAAGCCGAAGGTCTGACCCATAACGCTGATTTTGGTACAGATAACTTTGCTACTGATTTCCACCTCCACCACACCCCCTGTGTCACATTATGATACACCGTACACGCCAGCCAACACTAGACAGCACAGGAATTTCCACAGCTCCAGGTAGTCAAGCTGGCTTATTGGAAGCCCGATAATAAAACGACGGCCGATAAAAAAAAAATACTGCACAAAGGAATATCTTATGTAAGCTTTGTTCTCTACAAATACTATTTTTGTTTATATATTTATACATTGATTGGATAATAGTGTCAATCAGACATTTTCCTTTCCGTTCTCTTTCAGCATAATTTAAGCTTTCTTTCGTGTCTTTTCTGACAGCCGTCGTCATTAGATATATTAAAGTGTTACACCTGTCTGACAACGTTAAGTTGCTAGTAGATTAAATACCCCATACAGATTATACACGACTACTGATCCAAATCAACAACATCGGAGATATTCTTGTTCCTGTTTTATATTAATGTGCTGTATAGATACAGAACGTAACTTTACATAAAACGGAATCGGAATAAAACAGGAATCGTCAGGTAAGTCTACACGAATTTTTATTTGTTTTAAAATTATTTATAAAAAACGCAAATGAAATTAATATATTGTACAGTATCCACTCGGAGAGCTTTACGTGGCATATTCGTGAAATAACAGTGACGATATTACAACTAGGAAGTTATCTGGGGTTCGGGATATCTTTCCCTTTGTTTCGGTGGCGGTTAAGTGTTGTAATTTCCTATCAATTCTGGGTTTGGACTTTGTGTTAGGACACTGTGAAACATATTATCTAATTACCTGTAACACAGTTTGTATGTAGTGTATTGATCGTTTATATTTTCATCCTGTTGAAAAAAACCCACCTATGTAAGTGATAAAATTTCCTATTGTTGGGTAGTAACAAAATATTCAATTATACAGAGAATACGTTTGTAAAAAATATTAATTACCTCCCACTTTCGGATTTCATTCTTTGCTGTGTACATTGATAATAGGAAGTGGCAGACGATATTTCATTTCCAATGTGATGTGTTCATATTTATGCATAGCTAATAAGGGTACACTTTCTAATTAGTCAATTGGCTTCGGTGCAATTACCCCTATACTAATGACTTGATTCCAACCGACTTTTCCTACTGTGCTCATACATGGCAAGCGTCCAACTAAGTTTGATTGCTGGTTGGTTGGTTGGTTGATGGGTTTATAGACTCCTTTTCACAGGCGGAGCCCGTGTTCTGGCGTCTTGAGGGGGTAAGTCTCCTGCTTACAGGCCCTCGGTGATTCAAAATGACCTAGCCCATTCCAGATCACGCTCTAAGTCCGGTCAGCTCCTTAGATGCGGATAGGCTGTCACAGTTACATACAGCACGTATACGGGAGCGTGGAACACGTCCTTTAAACAGCTTCACTGTCCTCCTATGAGTTTGATTGCTATTTTGACGTGTGTTTATACGTATAGTTAATGGGGCTCTCCTTCTGATTGGTCAATTGCATCGGTTTTCTTAAAATAACTCGCCTTTAATGGTACATGTATACGTATATGCCTTCTGTATGGCGCAGTTTGTCCAACTCGGCGATTCATGCATGTAGACCGTATATTTATTGCATCTGGAATGTCTGCTCAGGGTTCCCCATTTTTACCCACCCTACTCAACAGTATGATGTCTACTCTACTCAACAAACAAACGATACAGCATGTCCTGCAAGCGGGTGATATCATGTCCACGAATGTTCTCGTGTTCTACTTAATATCGTTTATAATTTGGTATTAACACTACGTATGTTGTTCAGGACCACACGGCAGAAAATGGGTTAACAGTATTTGGTCAAAGAGAGATACTTATTTATCAAAAGTGGTAGGAAAAGGATAGAAAAGAAACATAAAAATTGCCAATAGAGCAAGAGAGGGTTTTATACATGTATCATATATGGTTAAACAACATATTACATTCAGGTGATGTGCAATGATGTTATACAACACTCCCAGCTCAGTTTTCAAATATTATACATGTTCACCTACAGTATGACAGCAATATCACCACAGTCTCAAACTCTATGACGAACATGGCGATTTAAGTATCATGTTTTCACTCAGTAATAGCAAACTTCTGGGCTTCGCTTATAGAGATTACACGTGGCAGTTGATTTACTATATCCAGGGTCTATTTAAACAATAATCAGACTTTAAGACTTCATAGGCGGGATGATATACCAGAGAGTAATCGATCAATGTTAAAGAAAATGGCCGTCGCCCCCGAGATTTATGAGACGTTATCATACTGCAAAGAAAAATGTCACACGTACGGTGATTGGTCGAATTGGCAAGGTACCTGAAGATTACCGGGGTACATAAGAGCACGCGCGCCTGTTGTAAGGAGATAACTCGAAGATTCGAATTTAACACACCGGAGAACGTTCGTCTGCTAATGTCAACAATCAACGATATGGCGAAACGGTTTGCAAGCCACACGGAGAGTGAACTTGAGACAAAACGGGCTACACTTATACCTACAAACACAAAGAGATGTATTTAATGTTGTTTCAAAACCATATTGTTGACTTGTTATAATTTAAATTTTTATTAAATTGTTGGAATTATACAAAAAATGTTTTTACTATTTTCCCGTACTAACGCCCTACACAGTATCTGTTTTCTGGCAAACACGAGTCCCAACCTATGAATGGTTTTGCAGTATGACAAATTCGTTATACAGGTCTTTGGCAGGGTATTGTTTTGAGTACAATAGATCTATGTTTACATTTACTCTATGGTATCACTATATAAACGAAGGACAAAGCGTTTTGGGTCATACTACTTTAGACCGGAAGACAAATAAAGAGTCAATGCAGAAAATATTTTTGACTGTTCTTTACCTAGATTATAATATTTTTATTAACAAACTTCCACACAGTTTTGATTTTATATGAAAATGAAATACGGAACTACGTCGATATGATGACGCAAGGACAGCATAATGACACAGAACTATATGGCGACATAATGACACAAGGACATCATAATGACACGGAACTATGTGCGATATAGTGACACAAGGACATCATAATGACACGGAACTATGGGCGATATAATGACACAAGGACATCATAATGACAGTGAACTATAGGCGATGTAATGACACAAGCACATCATAATGACAGTGAACTATAGGCGATATAATGACACACGGACATCATAATGACACAGAACTATGGGCGATATAATAACACAAGGACATCATAATGACACGGAACTATGGGGGTTATAATTATATAATGACACAAGGACATCATAATGACAGGGAACTATAGGCGATATAATGACACAAGGACATCATAATGACAATGAACTATATGGCGACATAATGACACAAGGACATCATAATGACACGGAACTATAGACGATATAATGACACAAGAACAGAATAATGACACGGAACTATGGGTGTTATAATTATGTAATGACACAAGGACATCATAACGACACGGGACTATGGGCCATATAATGACACAAGGACATCATAATGACAGTGGACTATAGGCGATATAATGACACAAGCACATCATAATGACAGTGAACTATAGGCGATATAGTGACACAAGGACATCATAATGACACGGAACTATGGGTGTTATACTTATATAATGACACAAGGACATCATAATGACAGTGAACTATAGACGATATAATGACACAAGACATCATAATGACACGGAACTATGGGTGTTATAATTATGTAATGACACAAGGACATCATAACGACACGGGACTATGGGCCATATAATGACACAAGGACATCATAATGACAGTGAACTATAGGCGATGTAATGACACAAGCACATCATAATGACAGTGAACTATAGGCGATGTAATGACACAAGCACATCATAATGACAGTGAACTATAGGCGATATAATGACACAAGGACATCATAATGACAATGAACTATATGGCGACATAATGACACAAGGACATCATAATGACACGGAACTATAGACGATATAATGACACAAGGACAGCATAATGACACGGAACTATTGGTGTTATAATTATATCATGACACAAGGACATCATAATGACACGGAACTATCGGCGATATAATGACACAAGGACATCATAATGACAGCGAACTATAGACGATATAATGACACAAGACATTATAATGACACGGAACTATGGGTGTTATAATTATATAATGACACAAGGACATCATAATGACAGTGAACTATAGACGATATAATGACACAAGACATCATAATGACACGGAACTATGGGTGTTATACTTATATAATGACACAAGGACATCATAATGACAGTGAACTATAGACGATATAATGACACAAGACATCATAATGACACGGAACTATGGGTGTTATACTTATATAATGACACAAGGACATCATAATGACAGTGAACTATGGGCGATATAATGACACAAGACAGCATAATGACACGGAACTATGGGCGAAATAATGACACAAGGACATCATAATGACACAGAACTATGGGCGATATAATAACACAAGGACATCATAATGACACGAAACTATGAGCGATATAATGACACAAGGACATCATAATGACAATGAACTATATGGCGACATAATGATACAAGGACATCATAATGACACGGAACTATGGGCGATATAATGACACAAGGACATCATAATGACACAGAACTATGGGCGATATAATAACACAAGGACACCATAATGACACGAAACTATGAGCGATATAATGACACAAGGACATCATAATGACACAGAACTATGGGCGATATAATAACACAAGGACATCATAATGACACGAAACGATGAGCGATATAATGACAAAAGGACATCATAATGACAGTGAACTATAGGCGATGTAATGACACAAGCACATCATAATGACAGTGAACTATAGGCGATATAAAGACACAAGACATCATAATGACACGGAACAATGGGCGATATAATGACACAAGGACATCATAATGACAGTGAACTATAGACGATATAATGACCCAAGACATTATAATGACACGGAACTATGGGTGTTATAATTATATAATGACACAAGGACATCATAATGACAGTTATTTATGGGCGATATAATGACACAAGGACATCATAATGACTGAACTATGGGCGATATAATGACACAAGGACATAATAATGACAGTGAACTATAGGCGATATAATGACACAAGGACATCATAATGACTGAACTATGGGCGATATAATGACACAAGGACATCCTAATGACAGTGAACTATAGGCGATATAATGACACAAGCACATCATAATGACAGTGAACTATAGGCGATATAAAGACACAAGACATCATAATGACACGGAACAATGGGCGATATAATGACACAAGGACATCCTAATGACAGTGAACTATAGGCGATATAATGACACAAGACAGCATAATAACACGGAACTATGGGCGATATAATGACACAAGGACAGCATAATGACACGGAACTATGGGCGATATAATGACACAAGGACAGCATAATGACACGGAACTATGGGCGATATAATGACAAAAGGACATCATAATGACAATGAACTATATGGCGACATAATGACACAAGGACATCATAATGACACGGAACTATGGGTGTTATAATTATATAATGACACAAGGACATCATAATGACAGTGAACTATAGGCGATGTAATGACACAATACAACATAATGATAGAGCTTATGGCGACATAATGACATAAAGGAAACAGAACGACACGGAACTATGGTGACATTATTACACAGAACTAGGACAACATAATGGTGGATGTTGTACAGGAAAGTTTACATTTCCTGAGAATCTGATTTTACCTTCAAGAGTTCAGTCAAGACTCTCTACCATCTGTTTTGGTGTATCTTTTTTTAGTACAATTCATTATTTTTTGTATTGATGTTACTTGTACTTTCGTCAATTTAAAATCTGACATAATACGAGATTTAGTTTCCTTTACTTGTGAGAATTGTCGCATTCGTTTATGAGTATTGACTGTGATTATTAGGTGATACTACATAGCACATGTAACTTCTATGTAGTGATGTCACTGCCTACCATAAACTGTAATTGTATTACTTGTGTACTTTTCATTTGCTCCAGGACGACGACAATGACGATTTACAGGCTTGTCGAGTTGTATACCTGGCTGGCACTATTTCAATGTAAGGCTACATAAGCATGACACTATCTGCAACTGGTTCAGATAACATTTTATGCCATAGACTAGCTGCTACATTTCAATGAACATAGTACTGACATACTGATCAGAACGTTCTTTTCATACAGATATACAGAATATTTATATATACAAATACCATAAAATGAACATACACTGCAAGTTAAACATATTTTGTTTGTAAGTATTCAGAAATTGACGGATTATTTTTTTATCTATAGTTTCTTTTGCCTAAAGCGTACAGCGCCCATATAGAGCAAAGTCACCCATCGCACTATATGATAAAAGAGGAAGATGCCAAGTCATTTCTAACCGACTCTAGAATCAGCAAACGGAGTGCCGACCTGTGTGTCAACGATGAATATTACTGTGAAGCTAACAAACCAGAATGTAGGGTGAGCGCGTAAGCTTGTTCATATAAACATGAATGACATATTCTGAATATTAACAGCTAATCAGTTAGATAGTTTCCTATTGAGTAAATACACTTCGTGAGTAATGTTGTATTCAGGAAACAGAGAAAATATGCAAGAGCGTTTAAATTTCATAAAAATCTTGTAATTGTTGTCAGTTTTAACGATTTTGTAAAGTGGCAAAGTTGTCAACTGTTTAAAGTGTTTATTGTGCCTTTAAAATATCTGTTAATACCTTTCAAAAATATGATATTATTTGTTTTGACTTGGTTGGTCCTATATTACACCCCTTATTGGTATAACTTCGAACTATTTCTTTTGTCAAAGCTTTACACTGAACGTTCACGGGAGGCATACTGTAGACCAGATTCCTGTCCAATCGGTCAGACATGCTACATGTCCACACCCTGTCCGGCACATTATAGAACTGGATGTGACGGTAAGTTATCCAAGCTATCTACTACAAGTCAATAATTATCATTTTCGTCATTTTTATGTGCGTACACTTCATTTTTGGCAGCTTTTAATGTTTCAGGACATACGTCAGCGCAACAGCGAATAGTGACAGTAATTTAAAAATAAGTCTTCGTATAGCTTTTTGTAAAAATTGTCACATTCATCGAGAAATACAACAGCTAGAACACTGTATCGTAAACTAAAACCGCGTCAAAACTAGGTTAGATGATAGGATACATGTTTGCTATACGTTTTGATTTGTTTAAATAAAACATTCTAAAAGGAAAGCTACGATGGCCGACAAGAGACAAATTAATTGATTTTTTCCTATCTTTGTATACCATGGTTCACTTTTCTATGTTACACAATCATATGAAAAATCATATCATTGTGTACCATAGTTGGTACATAATGATATGAAAGGAAAGTTATTATCAAACTTTTGCAATACAGTGTCCGAAAAGAGGCGCGGTACAGAATGAAATGAAAGCAGCGAGCTTTCATATCTTTGTGTACGATACCGCGGTACAGAATGAAACGCAAGCAACGAGCTTTCATATCTTTGTGTTCCATACGATGGTACAGAATGAAATGAAAGCAATGAGCTTTCATATCTTTGTGTTCCATACCGCGGTACAGAATGAAATGAAAGCAACGAGCTTTCACATCTCTGAACACCATACGACGGTACAGATAGAAATGAACGCGACGAGCTTTCATATCTTTGTGTACCATACCGTGACACAGAATGAAATGAAAAAGACGAGCTTTCATATATTTGTGTACCATACCGCGGTACAGAATGAAATGAAAGCGACGAGCTTTCATATTTTTGTGTACCTTACGACGGTACAGAATGAAATGAAAGCAACTAACTTGCGTATCGTTGTGTACCATATCGCGGTACAGAATGAAATGAAAGCGACGAGCTTCATATCATTCTGCCGAGTAGATTCATGTGAAAGTATATGAGATTTTTAAAATTTCGTTTCTAATCATTATTTACCTCACATGGTACACAAATAATTGATTTTTCATTTGTGTACCATGGTACAATTAATATGGTCCAGAAAGAAATGTTTCTTTTCATATCTTTCTGAACCACGGTTTTGTACACTTTTATGTGGTACATACTGATATGAAAAATCAATTAATTTTGTCCGGCTCTTGTCGGCCATCGTAGAAAGTACAGAATAGTTGAGTAAAATTGATTTCTGTTAATTGATTTGTTAATTTGCAATAGAAAACATTGTCAAAAAACAAGATACCTGTTGTTTGCAGAACGTTTTTTCAAGTTGTTTTTAGCTCACCTGCCCGAATGGCCAAGTGAGCTGATGCCTTGGCGCAGCGTCCGTCTTCGGAGTCATTTTTTTCAATTGACTTCTTTTTAATAACTAAAAGACCTAGAGTGATGATAGTTGGCCAGAATCATACTGGCATGAATGGCTACCAAGCTGTTCAAATGAATGAACTATATACAAGGTCACAAGAGTCAAATATGTTAAAAAATCTACACAACTTCTTCTGAATAACCAAAATGCCTAGGGTGATGATATTTGGCCAGTAGCATGCTTGGATGAAGGGCTACCAAGTTTGTTAACATGAATTACCTTGACCTACATTCAAGGTTACAGGGGTCAACATGTTTAAATCTTCAAGCAACTGAATAACTAAGTGTCAAAAAAGTTGCATGCTGAGATGAAGGACTATACATTTTGTTCCATGTAATGACCTTGTTCGACTTTCAAATTCACAGGGGTCAAATGTGTTTAAATCTTTCAACAGGTTCTTTTGAATGACTTTGAGTCAAAACACTGATGTTTTGCCGGTAGCTTAATTTAAGTCCACTTTTAAGGTTATAGTTGTGAGATCAATACCAGGTGAGTGATGCAGGCATATTGAACCTGGTTTTTTTTTATGAAATAAGACCAATTTGGCAGTCATTTTGAAAATGGTAATTTCTTACGTTTTACGTAACGTCATAATTTATTACTTTTTTTTGGAACTCGCTTAATCAATAAAATGTTCAATGTGATGCCATTTTTGATTGTAGTAAGTTGATTCCTTCTATACCAGATTATCATATTCAATAAAATGACAATTATATGAACAAAGGGGGTAATTAAATTCCCCCACCTATGACAGTTGTTAGAAGAGAAACAAAGTTTCCTTCAATTCCGTGAATATACCAGAAAGTTTTTTCACCAAAAATCACATATTACGTAAGGTTCGAATATTTGACCGACAGAAGAAGGAGAAAAAAAGAGCATACAAATATATTATTTCCTTTTTGCTCTTTGTTTTCTCATTTATTTTCTTTGAAATATGGTATGGCTAAAATATGTACGTGAGTTTAACATAACAGTTGCACTAAGTATGATAATTATTTGTAGATTGTAGACAACAATTTGTTTATGATACGTTGTTTAAGCAAACGCTTGCCTCGGGATACCATGTAAGAATGGGGGCACGTGCAAAACGGTGGGTACTACGTACACGTGTGCGTGTACAACAGCGTACTACGGAGAGACCTGTGCATACGGTTCGTATATTCTAGTGTTTCTAAAGATTGTCAAGAATATTTTGATTGATGGCTGTAATGCATTTTAGAGAACTATTCCCGACATTCAAATTACATTAATGTAACAGCAATCTTGCAAACAGATAATAATTATGTTATAAAACTGGAATTGCGTTACATTCTACAAACTACGACTAATTGATAAAAATAAACAGAAGTTTCACTGTCAATTATATAGTTACCATTTTTGGGTTACTCTATTTGTTGCTACCAAAACAGGCGTGATATTACAAAATATTCAGTACAGCATTCTCAGATATACAATTAACAAAAAATACATTTCTTATTTATTTCCTGAAGGAAATCTTACATGTTGATATATGCATTTTCCACTACCAGTGGATGAATGCCACTCCAATCCGTGTGAAAATGGAGGGACGTGTACCAGGGTAGGATCAAACTTCAACTGTGGCTGTACAAACGGACACCAAGGAACCAACTGTCAGCATCGTAAGTTCTCTCAACCTTCCAAACGCCTGTACGTGTTTGTTCGGATCACATTATAACAGTTATAGACAGGTACATATTGATTCCAACACCTGTAAACCTGGTAAACAGACTGAAATACGAGTAACTCGCATCCGCAGGTTTATTGCAGATTATTTATTTTCAGGTATATGAAAATGCATGCTTTTCACAATAACGAATCATTAATGAAATAACAGTGATATGAAAAAGAACATGCCTTCCATGAATTAATATCATCTCTGGATTTAACAATGCGAATACAAATAAAAAAACGCAAAAAACAATGATTAAATAAATAAATACAGGAATAAAATAAATGAATAAATTTGTAAAATCATACAATAATATCTACCAATCAATGACAAAATGAAAGTCAAGCAAAATTTGATTATATACGTAGGAAAGGATGCCTTGTCAAGAAGCGCACATAAGGATATTTTGCTTAAATATAAAGCTGATAATATGTTTGCAAAATGCTATAATTCAGCTTCCGGGGGCTACCACCTTTTTGAGAAATCGACTGGAAATTACAGTATATATTTTAAATAATCGTAAAATATAGTATTCTTAAATTAGATAACAAACAACATTTGTAGACATACACATGCAACATATTAATGATTAGAATATCATTATAACATTTAAATAAGCCTATAGCAATGTAATCATAATTGCTTTGTGTACTTTGATTACAAATATCTCCCCTTATAAAATATAACAGAAAGTCCCTGTTACGGCCAGCCTTGTAAGAATGGAGCCACGTGCCAGAATTCAGGAACGACTTATGTATGCGCGTGTACATCCGGATTCTACGGTGTCGACTGTGAAAGCGGTAAGCAATAAAGCATACAGAAGCAGATCATTTGTCAAGATATCATAGTCTCATTGGTGTTTTAAACTATAAGAAATGGCAATAAAAATACTGAGAACAGGAGAAGGATACATCTTAATGACGACTCCTGTTTTGGTTTGGTATTTTGGTATATCGGTTAACATTTTATACTTTATGATTCATTATATAAATGCAATTAACAACAATGGCGTTTCTGATATCCACCTGGTCATCTTATATGTTTATATATGTGTTTTCCACTAACAGTGGATAGATGCCTCTCCAATCCGTGTGAAAACGGAGGGACGTGCAGCAGAATAGGATCTAACTTCAACTGTGACTGTACAAACGAACAACAAGGAACCAACTGTCAGCATCGTAAGTTCTCCAACCTTCCAAACGTCTGTAAGTTTTTGTTTGGATCACATTGTTGCAAATTTAGTCAGGTAAATCTTTTGATTCAAACACTTCTTTTCTAAGATACATTGTGTGGTAACTTTCTGTCGTAAACAGACCGATATACGACTAACTTGCATCCTCAGGATCATTGTAGTTTATCTATTTTCATGCATCTGAATTGGCAATTTAATAGCAGTGATATGAAAATGAATCACCATGCCTAGCATGAACTAATGACATCTTCGAAATAGAGTTTCAGCATGATTCATCATAATTATCTGGATACAAAAAAAAACCAACAGAGATCAAACAAAAACAATAAATAATCAAATAGAATAAATGCAATTATACAATTCGGATTTGCCAATCAATGAACGTCCAGCAAAATTTAATTATATATGAAAGACAATATTTTCTCTCAAGAAGCACACATCAAGATATTTTGCCTGACCATAGAGCTGGTCCTACTGGGGGATATAATTATTTGTGGGTAATATGCTAGACATTACAGTATATATTCTAAATAAGTCTGATACAGTATTCCTGAATCAGATAACATAATTGCTTTGTGTAATTTGATAAGAATTATCTTCCCCTATAAACTACGACAGAAAGTCCCTGTTACGGTCAGCCTTGTAAGAACGGAGCCACGTGCCAATATGCTGGAACGACCCACACATGTGCGTGCACATCCGGATTTTATGGTGTCGACTGTGAAAGTGGTAAGAAATAATGCATACAAAAGTAGATCATACGTTGTCAAGATATCATAGTTTCATTTGTGTTTGCATCCAAATTATAGGGTAATATAAATATTGAGGACAGGAGAGATATACATTTTATTGAAGTCTCCTGTGTTGGGTCCTGCGTTGGGTTGACACTGAGGTACATTTGTATATCGTTTTGCTTGTAAGCTTTTATATCTATTATATATATATAAATACAATTAGCAAAAAGGCATTCCGATATCCATCTGCATAAAGAAAACACTTATATGTTGATATGTGTATTCTCATTTACCAGTGGATAAATGCCTCTCCAATCCGTGTGAAAACGGAGGGACGTGTACCAGGGTAGGATCAAACTTCAACTGTGGCTGTACAAACGAACACCAAGGAACCAACTGTCAACATCGTAAGTTCCCCAAACATTCCAAATGTCTGTCCGTGCTTGTTCGGATCACATTATAACAGTTATAGACAGGTAAAGCTGTTGATTCCAACACCTGTTTTCTATGATACATTGTGCGGTATCTTTCTATGGTAAACAGACTGAAATACGAGTAACTCGCATCCGCAGGTTCATTGCAATTTATTCATTTTCAGGTATATGGATCACTAATTTAATAGCAGTGATATCAAAACGAAACATCATGCCTAGCATGAATTAGTAATTTCTCCGGAATAGAGTTTCGACATGATTCAAAAAATTATGCGAAAACAACCAAAACAAAGCAAAACAAAAGTATATATATCTATATGAGAGACTAAAATATATAATTAAAAAACAATTGTAAAATTGGACAATTTGTATTTGCCAATAATATCAATTAAAAATGAACGTCAAGCTAAATTTAATTATATATGTAGGAAAGGATGCCTTATCAAGAAGCGCACTTTAAGTTATTTTGCTTGAATATAAAGCTGGTAATATGTTTGCAAAATGCTATAATTCAGCTTCTGGGGGCTACAACCTTTATGGGCTATATGCTGGAATTAAGTTATATTTTAAGTAAGTGTAATACAGTATTCTTGAATTAAATAACAGAATTGCTTTGTGTGATTTGCTAAGAAATATTTTCCCCTATAAACTACGACAGAAAGTCCTTGTTACGGCCAGCCTTGTAAGAATGGAGCCACGTGCCAGTATGCTGGAACGACCTACACATGTGCGTGCACATCCGGATTTTACGGTGTCGACTGTGAAAGCGGTAAGTAGTAAAGCAAACAAAAGTAGATCATACGTTGTCAAGATATCATTGTTTCATTCGTGTTTGCATCTTAATGATATAGTAATATAAGTTTTTAGGACAGGAGAGGGATATATTTAATTGTCTGGCGTCTCCTTTATGGGTTTATACTGATGTATATTGGTTTGCTTGTTATACTTTCAAAACAATCCTACATGTGTATGTTTATATATGCGTTTTCATTTACCAGTGGATAGATGCCTCTCAAATCCTTGTGACAACGGAGGGACGTGCAGCAGGATAGGATCTAACTTCAACTGTAGCTGCACAAACGAACACCAAGGAACCAACTGTCAGCATCGTAAGTTCTCTCAACGTCTGTAAGTGTTTGTTCGGATCACGTTATAGCAAATATAGACAGATACATCTATACAATGTGTTGTAACTGTCTGTGGTAGCCAGAATGATTTACAACGACTTCGCAGTTTATTTATTTTCAAAAAAGAGTGCAGTGATATAAAAATGAAAAGAAAAATAACCTGGCATAAATGAATAACATTTCCGGAATGGATTTTTTTTGCAAATTCAATACAATAAGATACATACTACAACTGTTTGCCAGCAGCCGTAATAACATGAAATATAAACTAAGCACAATTCCTAACAATAAAAAATCCACAACATAACACCTGATATTGTTACAGTAAATCATGCATAGATCAGCGATAGTGGAGCTAGCGTGATCCTCTTGCGAGTATGCTTCCCAATTTACCTACACTGCTCTTTCAGTGATTGGCAACACACTTCTAACTGACGAATGAAATACTTCCGCTGGAAACTTAATTCTTCCGACATGATGGAAACAAGAACGTATCGCGCATCATCACTAGGTATACAACAGTTTGACAAGTGTCCATGTATCCATGTTCACTTGCTATATAATATACACATTTAAAGATACACAGTGTTAAAATTATAACCTGCTTATTTCAATAATATACTATGTAAAGTACAGTTAACTTCTCCCAATTATAGAGAACACTTGTATGTACATTGGCAATGTTAGCCTCGCGATATAACCATTGTTTTATGGTTCTGAAGGTTGCATGTTCGTATTTGATGATACAATGTACGCTAAAACCAAACAAGGATACCCCAATATCTTACAAATATGCAGCGAGCTGTATTTTGTTACGCCTGAAAATGCACTTCTGCTTGTTATCTAGGGAAGCAAGCTATCTGTAATATTTATATGCAAACAAACTGTAAAATAATCATGTTATGTGTTTCATTTACCTCTTGGTGTACATGCGTTTCAAGTGTATGGAAATAAAAAATAACCTACAATAAATGAATACAATACACAATTTTTTAGTCGCAACTATTAAACAAATTGAACTTCAAGCACAATTGTAATTACATATATAGGAAACAGTGCCGTCCCAAGAAACACACTAAGATATTTGTGGCCAATAAATCGGTATAAACATATACCTTCCCCTTCAGTTAATGAATCATTCAGCTGTATAGGATGAAGGAAATAACAGTTTATGTTGTAAATAAAGGTTACACAGTATACTGGAAAAAGATAACATACAGCTTTTGAACATATATACATGCAACATTTTTAATGATAAAACACTCTTTTGTTAAACCATGACAATGATTTGCGTTGTGTAATTTGATGAGACATACCTCCCCATTATGATATTAAATACAACAGAAAGTCCCTGCTATGGCCAGCCTTGTAAGAATGGGGCCACGTGCCAATATGCTGGAACGACCTACACATGTGCGTGCACATCCGGCTTCTACGGTGTCGACTGTAAAAATGGTAAGCACTGAATCATACAAAAGTAGATAATACGTAGTTAGGATATCATAATTTCATATGTTATTGCAACAAAATGATACAGTAATTAAAATATTAAGGAAAGAAGAAAGATAAACCATTTTACAGAACCGTCGAAAAAATGTTAGGTTGTTCCAAAGCAAACTTGTATCCACTCATTGCCTAGATTTTGTTTTTGAAATAAGCATTAATTTATCCAGATCTTATTGTTACTTCCTTCTGCCATTGACGATCAGACGCCAACAGTTCTGACTGCAAAGCTGCTTGCAAATAAACATATAATTAGCGCTTTTTTTGTTATCAAATGACATAAATTTGCTATGAATACTTAATTTATTTTTTCAAAATCCCTATATAGTTGACGCCTGCCAAAAATCTCCTTGCAAAAACGGCGCTACGTGCAACAGGGTTGGATCGGATTATAACTGTTCTTGTACCGACAGATACATCGGGTCAAGTTGTATCGAAGGTAAAAAGAATACGTCTGATTGATTTGTTGTGCGGCTTTGTGACACATAACGTTGCAATATCATTCCTCGTGTCACTCGTAACATCACTTGTTCATGTACTGTAACTGTTTATTTTCGTGTTAAGCACAACCTGTTAATAGTGATGTTATATTGCACAGATTGTAGACCCGGACCAGCTGATATAATCATCGTACTAGATTCCTCAACTAGCGCACACATCGTGTTTAACAAGTCTAAATCGTTTGCTGACTCAGTTGTTAAAGGATTGTCAATAGACGCTGGTGACTTCCGAATCGCAATGCTGACGTATTCAGCTGATGTCCATCTTGAGTTTGGGTTTAACACACATACGAACAAGACATCCATGCTTACTGCTATAGACGATATATCTAGTAGTTCTGGCGCATCCTACCTTCATAAAGCTCTGGGGAATGCAAGTGAGGTAAGTCTTTACAATGATTATATTATCAACCAAATGGGGTGTCCCTGAAATATATTCTCACAAATTATATGGATCACATAGACTCAATGCCTTTGATTAAAAATATAAAAAAAACATTGAAATACCCAATGGAGATAATATCAAAACCTTCTTCCGAATCGCAATGCTGACGTATTCAGCTGATGTCCATCTTGAGTTTGGGTTAACACACATACGAACAAGACATCCATGCTTACTGCTATAGACGATATATCTAGTAGTTCTGGCGCATCCTACCTTCATAAAGCTCTGGGGAATGCAAGTGAGGTAAGTCTTTACAATGATTATATTATCAACCAAATGGGGTGTCCCTGAAATATATTCTCACAGATTATATGGATCACATAGACTCAATGCCTTTGATTAAAAATATAAAAAACATTGAATTACCCAATGGAGATAAGATCAAAACCTTCTTATTTATTCGGACTTGAATTTGTTCTCTCCGTCTGAAATTCTTGTTCGTTAAGATATTCAAACGTCGTATTTAACATGAGGGCTATGTTGACTATAATTTGTTTAAGTATATTTATGTGATTATGTAAAAAAAATCGAATGTGTAACAACAACATTTTACAACACCAAAATGAAGTCAGAAAAATCGTATGTCTCTTCATTACTTCATGTTTGTATATATTTTTTATGTTCAGTATGTAGAGCCCACTCACATACAGGTTTGTTTAATGACTGTGCTCATTAGTGTGTCATGTGATGTTACTTCCCGTGTTCTCGATTTGAGGACGTGACATTACTTAGAGATGACCCAAATTTATATGGCGGTCTTTGTCGATGAAGCAGAAGCCGCTTACCCTTCCCGGGCACCTGGTCTGATTCTGTTTGTACTTTTTCAATGATCTCTATTTAAATATTTCCTTTGTTGCTATTTCGACCTAGTGTTTTTTTTAATCCGATACTGTATGTTTTGTCTATTAATGTAATTTTTGTAATAAGCCATGCATAAATCACAAGTGAATGATTGAAGTTCGCCCATAGTTCTTCTTTTAAATAATGCCTTAATTTTCGCTGAAATCTTTTTTTTTCAACAGATGTTTCTTTCTGAATCTTTAACCGGAGTGAAACAATATGTCATCATAATATCAGACGGACTCTCCACTCGCCGACAAAAAAACATAGTGGAAACACGGTTGTTGAGGGCGCGGGGTGTTAAGGTTCTGTGTGTGGGGATAGGAAGTCAGGTAGCCCAGGAGGAACTGCTCCAGATAGCTACAGCTACTCCGTACGTCTTCTCACCCAGTAACGACGATGTCCTCAATGTCATTCTTATGGAGACAGCGAATACGAATTGTACAGGTATAGTTTTTACCGTCAATGAATATAAAACAGACACCAGTATATCTGCATGTGCAAAATATGAAAACGAATTATCTGGGTTTTATATGTACACTCAATTTTGAAACAAAAACATCTTTATAGTTAATCTGTGTTGTCTGAAATGTTAAACTGTCTTCCGACTTCATTTCCCCTACGGATAGAGATGTTATTGAGAAGTTTTTTTAATGCAATCTGTTGATAAATTGTTTTGAAAATTGTTTATCTTCTATTTCATATTTTCCTTCGTTGTAAAGTCTTAAATAAAAAAGGCAAAATTTTCCATAAAAAACCCACCAAAATGTGTAGTTGCGTTCTTATGCAAAAGGTTAAACAAAAATGCTACATCGGTATGTATTTGGTATGATTTAGAATAAAGGAGATGCAGTTAGAATACAGATGCATCAATATCAGATGTGTATCCTTCAGGTGTACGGCTAATTCCCTCATGTTTGCTAAAGACTTTTTCTGGCTACATACGTCAGCATTTTACCTCACATAGCAATACATCATGCTGTAGTGATACATCGGCCGCTGTTTAACTGTAGCATGATTTGTAATGTAATCGTCAGGCACGGAAGTCTATTGGTAGAACGCCGGGGTCGTGCATTGCTGGTTCGAGTCACGTCACGTGTATTGTATCCTTGAACAGGATACTTTACTCCGCTTGTTCCAGTCTACTCAGCTGTAAATGAGTACGTGGTCGGGCAGTGCTGGAATTGTTGAATGCTTGCTGTGAGCGCCTAAATGGCAGCATCGACTGTATGCTTCCAAGGGAGTTGAGAAACATATTGGCTGGTTGCAAAAGACAAATAACCACGGATAATAATTTGTGAACCGCTTTGAGACGACCTACGACATAGGTTGTGGTAAGGCGGTATATAAGAACATCACATTATCACTATAATTATTATCGAGAGATTCGTATGTATTTTTCCTATTTCGCTGTGGTGTTATATGATACAGAACATTTTATAAATGATTTTTTTTTTATTCTTTTGACGGTTAGGACAACTGATGATTCATGACGAAATGGCAAGGTGTTGTAGTAAATAAGCACACGCACATTATGTACTTCTTTGGTTTTGTTTTCATTATTACGTGTTTAAAATGGTTACTAAAGGATATTTCTGTCCGAACCACAGAAATACTTATAATAAGGCCTTACATTAGTTTTCGAACTTATTCACACACACACACATATCTATATTTATGAGAATGACACAAAGAGTGGTTACCTAGTACTTCCGTTTTTTAGAGGTTGTCAGCAGATATATTATAACTATTTGGAATAATTTGAACTATGCCTTCTCTATCTTTCCAGATTGCCTGATCAATAAGGTCTCCGACATTGTGTTGTTGGTATATGTATCTAAATACCAGTCAGCTCAGCTACAGAGGACATTGGACACCGTCAAATTCTTCATACAGCAGGTCCGGGCGTATTTCTCCTACACACGGATAGCGATGGTTACATTCGATGTCCGTCAACATGTGAAATTTGGACTGTCTGACGATCAAGACACTGACGGTATACTTGTCAAAAGTCAGATAGGCATTACTACGTACGATCGGGAGTCTGACGTCAAAGCAGCGTTAGCGTTTGTTCGTACTTCTGTATTAAGTGGTGCTCGAGGAACCAGCCGAAAGTTTGTGGTGGTGTTCTCTAATGAAGGCTGGACAGACGTGGATGGTATTATACGTGAGAGACAGGCCCTTAACATGGACAATGTCACTGTGGCCTTTGTTCCTGTAGGACTCTCAGCCGAGCTTGATACCGTGTATTCTGTCGCCGACCAAGCAAGCGACGTGTACTACATCGGAAATGATGAGGAGGATCACGACGAGGACAGACTAAAGGCCCTGATAGCTCAGACGTCTCACGTGGAATGTGTTAATGATTTGTTTGAAAAAAGACAGTGAACGACTAGTATCATGAGACAATCCAAATGAAGGAAAGCATAAAGGCAGTTGTAGAAATTTATAAATTGAAAAGCGCATCTTTATTATTGTAATTTGAATTTTTTGTTTTGGATTAAAAAATAAAGCATTACATGGCCAGACGGTATGAAATGGGTAAATGATAAGCTTCCTGCTGAACGGAACATGATATAAAGGTACACTAACATGCGTGGGTTTGTGTGTGCTACGTTCTACTTTCACTTCAACACTTCTTAGATTTGAACAAATGCCTAATTTTGTTGAATAATAAATAAATACATTAAAATCATTAAAGGAAGTTACCTTTTAAAAATAATTGTTTTGTTTAGTTATGGATATTGCTTTATTTGAAGGAGTGACTTCTACCTTAATCGTGTAACAGGTCTCAATATGTACGGAGTTATGACCCTCTGTTAATTTTGCAGTTGTTCCGACAGTAAGAAATATGGATTGCTAGCAATACACTGCCTTGTATTGTAAAGCATGAATTATCTATATTTGTTCCCATGCTAACGAAGAGTTTGACAACTTTGCTTTTCTAAATTTTTGGTAGGTTTCGCAACATTGTAGGCTCCAATAGATATGACGGCTTGTTTACGTTGAGCACTCGCAATGAGATCCAAACCATCCTGATATCTTGCGTCGTAAAAATATTTTAAATTTTGATATAACCGTTGATTTGTTGCGCATTTCAACAGATTAAGGAGGAATAAAGTACAGTTATGAAAGCGGCATGTAATTATATGTTTTACCTTATCATTTATAACTTTTTCCTTAGAATGAGAATATTTCAAGTTCTCAGATATGTTAATCTAGGGCTTTTATGAATAGCTGTATGCGAATATTGATATTTCCTATGCTTGAGCTAAATTGTAAGAGTGACGATGATTCGGTATTTAAATATTATTTTCAGCTTTATGTGTTATAAACCATTTCTTGGCTCAAACTTCTGCAAATACTTATTGTTAAATTATATCTCAGCAAAACTTGTTTTAAATATAAATATAGTCAGTTTTAAAAAGCTTAATTGCAGTTAATATCGATATTAACATTAAATATATAAGATAATAAGGGGTTCCTAGAAATTACCCTAAAGATGCACAAGCAGTAATATTCATACGTGTTTAAGACTAAACATTTATGACAACAGTTATCCCTCTATCCCCTTCATAAAAAAACTCTTTGTTATGTTTATTATCCTTTTATACCAAACTTTGTAATTTTTGAAATGTTTTCATGTCTTAAAAGATAACCAATTCTTATATATCTTTAAATTAAGGATATTCACAATAAGGTTATCGTTCCTAGTCTTACTTCGATCTATTCATTGCATTATAACCACATACCCTGTGTCACTTCCTGATAGATAACGACATAGTCATATACATAGCCAAGTAGTCATGTAGGCTGTCTGGAAGCTCCTAATGATACGACACAACGCACAACGCATGCAAGCTTCGTTCTCTTAAACTATTATATATTGTGTATACATATAATGGTAAGGTAATAGAATATAAGAATCAGATGTTTTTCTTTCCGTTCTGTTTTAGTATCTTGTGTACTGTTGCTATTCCGACACCCGTCTTCATCCGACATGATAATGTCTTGTAACGAATTACCCACCTGTTTAATAAAGTTAAGTTTCTAATACATGAAGTACTTCGAGGGATCGTGTACAATTCAGCCTGATCGATAGCATTGGACATTCACCTTTCCTGTTTGATATCAAAATGCTCGGCAGAACTTGAAATCTAACAGGGACTGTCAGGTGAGTCTGCGTTTAATTTAAAACTTTATTTTTGAAATACAAATGAAATGTATATTTTACAGTGCATGTATGTGCCTAGAGTGCGCTTCATAATATCTCCGTAAAATAACAATAACGATATAACAATTAAGAAGTTAAGTGGAGTTCAGGAAACTTTTCCTTTTGTTTTTGCAGTCGGTTTCTGTTGTATATTTCTATATATCATTTTTTTGTTGCAAATCACGCAGGATGCACTTGAATGTATAACAAATTCCAAATACAGCTACTTTAAAGTGTAAAATCCTGACAACGGCAGCGTCCAGAAGTAATGAAATAGGCTAACTTGATGTTGTATTTCTGGTGAAATGAAAACACGGCGTTCCGTTTACAATTTTGTAGGTGTTTTTGTCCACCATTTCCTCACCCTCGTAATATATGTTCACAATAAGAAACGCTCACAATTATCACTTCTTACATCTAATATTAGGAATAATCAACGTATATGAGTGTATTATGGTGAGAAATCTTTTGATAAAAAGGTTTAACGAGGGTCGCTTGCGACCTGATTTAATCATTTTTACATTTTCGAACCCCGAGTGTATTTTCCATCATACTTAACAAATGTATGCTGCTTATATCTTTGTACCAAGTAAATTGTAAAGAATGTTTCTTTTGTATCCACTTTAGTTTCAATATGCCTATGTAAAGTAAGGTGACCTTTATCATCAGTTATTTAAATTAGGCTGTTTAGTCTTGCGCTCGCTATCATTTGCCATATGATGCCTATATGTCATCTTTTCACAACTGACTTTAGAGTGCGACCTCACGGAAATACCATGCCAAAATCATTTAGGACAGTAATCAAAACCGTTGAATTACACTGAGAGCGGGTTGACTAATAGTTGCAATTATTTTAAATGCTGATTGTTAAGCAGGGAATGGAAACTACAATTATAAGGACTTGATATGTCCTGCCTGGAGACTGAATTAATTGCCTATCCAACTTTAGCGAGCGTTCAACACTAAAGTAGAAAGAGAGGTATTGCTTGGAAGCAGAGAGATATATAAAGATCCATTAACTGTTATTTATATTTATTCCAGGATAAGTGAGATGAAGATGTCGGGGCTTGTTGCTTTGTATATATGGCTGGCGCTGTTAGGATGTAAGGTTACGTAAATACTTCTTGTAACTGGTTCCAATAATCCTTAACAATAAAATGACAATCATAACGTTCCTTTATAAACTTTTTTTGTAACATTTCAATCTAAGATTATTATGACTTACAGTTATTTCGTTTGTAAGTATTAGTAGTTATATGATATACATATATGATATTTAATTTTTGTAAAGTATTATCCTGAGAATTGACTTAATGTTGTCCTAAGTCTGCAGCTCCCATAAAGATCCAACCCACTTATCCCACTATCTGATACAAGAGGAGGCTGCCAAATCGTTCCTAGCCGGTTATAGAATCAACAAGAGGAGTGCTGACCTCTGTGTTGGCAGTGAACCTTATTGTGAGAACCACAAATCAGAATGCTTGGTAAGTGTGTTAGCTTGTTCGGGTAAACATTACATTCTGAACAGTAACAGCTGAACCGCTACATGATTTCATACTGAGAAACATTAAAGGATAAAACAATGACAGAAATGTATTCGCATGCCATTAAACAATATTGATAAAACATTTCGTGAGTGAAACTGTATACCTATACAATAAGAACGTTCCTTCCTCGTAAATACTCTTTTTGAATATTGCAGTGTTACAAAAATGTCATATTTTAAACATTTATGGTTTTGTAAATGTGTTTCCATACATAATGATGGTTTATAAATTGAAATGTGTTCTTTGTTTAGTCCCGTATGTTAATATTACAAGACGTTAATATTGATGTTCTTTCAGCTGTACACTAAAAGCTCACGTGAGAAATATTGTAAACCCAATTCGTGTCCAAACGGTCTGACGTGCTACATGGCCACACCCTGTCCGGCACACTATACGATCGGATGCATCGGTGAGATATCACAGTTAGAGTGGCAATGGCAATCATCGACATGTCATTTTATTGAAATTGGGGGGTAAAAGAGCATTTTGGATAGTCTTTGTTGACACGAATTTGGCGTTATTAAAAGAGGTACTGTTAGCGCCATAAATGAGAGGAAATGATAAAGGTAATACTAATAGCAATAATATTTATTCAGGAAAAAACATACACAACAAAACAATTTCATATATGTAGATAGTTCCAAAGTCGATAACTATTCATATATAATTTACGTGTTTTGCCTTACTCGGGGATAGCCCATGAACGCATTAGAAAGTTTGTTTCCAATGGGGTCCCTAGGTGGTTAAACAGAACAGCCAACTGATGCCTGTATTTACACAAAGTAGCAATGTCTTCTTCAAGTTCGTGTTCAAACGTCGGAGTCACTTTGAAAAAGTAATAAGGAGCAAGACGACACTCAACACTCAGTTTTATGATTGTACATATCATCGTGCTTATCGTAGAGCTTAGGGGTATGTCGTTTCCTTTGATAATTTAGAGGAAAGCAGCAGAAGAATAAGAGCCTGTTTTCTCCTTGATTTCAAGCAGGGGATATGTTCCAATGATATGGTCTTGAATTTGTCGATATGTCTGAATGAGTAATCGAAGGATTTGCCAAGGTTTCTTTACCAGTCCTGATACGCTTTTCAATAAACACAGCTTCATATAAAACAAAAACATGTCGGTCAGAATAGGTGCAAATTATGTTCCGTCGAGTGTGCTTACAGTCTGTTTTAAAACAACTTGCCAGCGAACTCAACACAGGTACAGTCAACCAAGAACTCAATCATTTTTACAATGTCATCTCCTGTATATATGTATATAGTCGCTTTTCCTTCTTGGAAACGAAACCTCATAATACTAGAATGACTGTTTCCTTCAGTTTGTTATGAAATATTATTGAGTAAAGAGTGGAACATTGGCAGTGTCATTGGTTATCAAGCAAGCCTAGTTATGTTGGCAAGCAGGTAATGAAATAGTGACTGCAGACAGGAGAGATTAAGTTATAAGATGTATTTTCTGCAGACACAAATGGATATTTATCATCAAAAGATTCGGGAAATGCAGTCTTGTTTTGGTTTGATTTTGGATTTCAATATGCTAATTCTTTTTTAATGATGAGCCTAATAGATTTAACGGACATTAAAACGTGAATATCATTCAACATTCTATCTTTTTTACATTGTCAGGCGTACTCGGTTACATAATCATTTATTGTTCTGAAATTCATGTTCCAATTGATAGCAAAATTCTGCCGATACATACAGATACATACAATGCATCATTAGAATATCTAGAAACTTGTTATTACGATTAACATTTAAATCGCCAGTTTCTTTGTGCCCAGATGGACCATAATTGTAGAACCAGAATATGCTGAAGGGATAAGAAAAAAAAGAGAGAAAGCAAAAACGCTGTGGAAAAGACTAATGAATTCACTTCAGTTTCGATCACGTCTTCTCTGAACAAAGACTTTACACTGTAATGACTGCATCCAGGAATTGATAAATTATCTACAGATCATTAGATTCATATGGCTTAGTTATGACAAGAAGTCCCATGTAACGTTTCTCTTTATGTAAACGATAAGAGTTATTCAGTGTTGGGTCATTGTTTGGATGATAAATTGTATCATAATAAGAATAGTCATAGACAGAACGGACGTGTGTAAGTTTGATGAAATCCATTATAAACATTTATTTTCTCCACGGTTTTCTGCCAAACAATAGAGACCCTTGTATATAAATCATTTTGTTTTTATGTTTTAGGAAATGCTTGCCTAGGATTACCATGTCAGAACGGTGGCACTTGCAAACCAGATCACGCGACGTACACGTGTCTATGTACTACATCTTACTACGGACATAACTGTGAATACGGTATGTTTCTTAAATGAATAGTTCTATTTCATAGATGAAGGCATCAGTTCAACAATAAAAATGAAATCTTGCCTGCGTGACAGTCACTCCAGCTTTCTGTACAGCGCAAAGGTTACCTTACGTGCTATTTTTTAATGAATAGCAATTTCGAATCATAAATTTAATCATTATTGAATCATATTTCGGATCGTATTTTAAAGATCACTTCGCGACATGTCAATAACAATAAAGCCCATATAATCCTGAAAACAACGCCTCAGCATCATGTGTAGACAAAGGATGCCACTGTTCGGCGTAATACATACGTCATAGAGAAAATGCCTGCATTACTCAAAAAAGCTTTGTCGAAATAGGTATCAGTGCATTTTATTCAACAGAATTGAGTGATAACATCTTACGGACTAACTTACGTGGGTAATATGAGAGAAGATGTCTACGACTGTCAGCCGACGGTTAAAGTGACATTTTGATGAAGGGATCAATTAGAGATGAGATGTCGTTTAAAACGCTTTAGATACATTGAAGTTAGCTATTTAAACCGTTAATAAAGCTTAAAGAACTAATGCAAAGTATTAATTTACCTAAATTATGTCTTTTTTATAAACATTTTACCGCACACAATAATAACATTGAACATCCTATTGTGACGTGCTTTTTATACATTTCAATACGACAGATATTTTTTAGGATCTTTATAATAAGGTGGGAAACAAAATAGCACTTGACTAACTTGCAAATGTAAGATATATCTAGCCCTTGTGTAACATTGTGTATGAGAAATAAAAACCGAGATCAATGCACCACAATCATTATATTGAGAAAAAAGGGTATGTGCACGTGTCTATGTACTACATCTTACTACGGACAGAACTGTGAATACGGTATGTTTCTTAAACGAATAGTTCTATTTCATAGATGAAGAAATCAGTTCAACAATAAAAATGAAATCTTGCCTGCGTGACAGTCACTCCAGCTTTCTGTACAGCGCAAAGGTTACCTTACGTGCTATTTTTTAATGAATAGCAATTTCGAATCAGAAATTTAATCATTATTGAATCATATTTCGGATCGTATTTTAAAGATCACTTCGCGACATGTCAATAACAATAAAGCCCATATAATCCTGAAAACAACGCCTCAGCATCATGGGTAGACAAAGGATGTCACTGATCGGCGTAATACATACGTCATAGAGAAAATGCCTGCATTACTCAAAAAAGCTTTGTCGAAATAGGTATCAGAGCATTTTATTCAACAGAATTGAGCGATAACATCTTACGGACTAACTTACGGGGGTAATATGAGAGAAGATGTCTACGACTGTCAGCCGACGGTTAAAGTGACATTTTGATGAAGGGATCAATTAGAGATGAGATGTCGTTTAAAAAGCTTTAGATACATTGAAGTTAACTTAGTTATGACAAGAAGTCCCATGTAACGTTTCTCTTTATGTAAATGATAAGAGTTATTCAGTGTGGTGTCATTGTTTGGATGATAACTTGTATCATAAGAAGAATAGTCATAGACAGAACGGACGGGTGTAAGTTTGATGAAATCCATTTATAAACATTTATTTTCTCCACGGTTTTCTGCCAAACAATAGAGACCCTTGTATATAAATCATTTTGTTTTTATGTTTTATGAAATGCTTGCCTAGGATTACCATGTCAGACCGGTGGCACTTGCAAACCAGATCACGCGACGTACACGTGTCTATGTGATACATCTTACTACGGACAGAACTGTGAATACTGTATGTTTCTTAAACGAATAGTTCTATTCCATAGATGAAGACATCAGTTCAACAATAAAAATGAAATCTTGCCTGCGTGACAGTCACTCCAGCTTTCTGTACAGCGCAAAGGTTACCTTACGTGCTATTTTTTAATGAATAGCAATTTCGAATCATAAATTTAATCATTATTGAATCATATTTCGGATCGTATTTTAAAGATCACTTCGCGACATGTCAATAACAATAAAGCCCATATAATCCTGAAAACAACGCCTCAGCATCATGGGTAGACAAAGGATGTCACTGATCGGCGTAATACATACGTCATAGAGAGAATGCCTGCATTACTAAAAAAAGCTTTGTCGAAATAGGTATCAGTGCATTTTATTCAACAGAATTGAGTGATAATATCTTATGGACTAACTTACGTGGGTAATATTAGAGAAGATGTCTACGACTTTCATCCGACGGTTAAAGTGACATTTTGATGAAGGGATCAATTAGAGATGAGATGTCGTTTAAAACGCTTTAGATACATTGAAGTTAGCTATTTAAACCGTTAATAAAGCTTAAAGAACTAATGCAAAGTATTAATTTACCTAAATTATGTCTTTTTTATAAACATTTTACCGCACACAATAATAACATTGAACATCCTATTGTGACGTGCTTTTTATACATTTCAATACGACAGATATTTTTTAGGTTCTTTATCATAAGTAGGGAAACAAAATAGCACTTGACTAACTTGCAAATGTAAGATATATCTAGCCCTTGTGTAACATTGTGTATGAGAAATAAAAACCGAGATCAATGCACCACAATCATTATATTGAGAAAAAAGGGTATGTACACGTGTCTATGTACTACATCTTACTACGGACAGAACTGTGAATACTGTATGTTTCTTAAACGAATAGTTCTATTCCATAGATGAAGACATCAGTTCAACAATAAAAATGAAATCTTGCCTGCGTGACAGTCACTCCAACTTTCTGTACAGCGCAAAGGTTACCTTACGTGCTATTTTTTAATGAATAGCAATTTCGAATCATAAATTTAATCAATATTGAATCATATTTCGGATCGTATTTTAAAGATCACTTCGCGACATGTCAATAACAATAAAGCCCATATAATCCTGAAAACAACGCCTCAGCATCATGTGTAGACAAAGGATGCCACTGTTCGGCGGAATACATACGTCATAGAGAGAATGCCTGCATTACTCAAAAAAGCTTTGTCGAAATAGGCATCAGTGCATTTTATTCAACAGAATCGAGTGATAACATCTTACGGACTAACTTACGTGGGGAATATGAGAGAAGATGTCTACGACTGTCAGCCGACGGTTAAAGTGACACTTTGATGAAGGGATCAATTAGAGATGAGATGTCGTTTAAAAAGCTTTAGATACATTGAAGTTAACTATTTGAACCGTTAATAAAGCTTAAAGAACTAATGCAAAGTATTAATTTACCTAATGTATGTCTTTTTTATAAACATTTTACCGCACAAAATAATAACATTGCTCATCCTATTGTGACGTGCTTTTTATACATTTCAATACGACAGATATTTTTTAGGATCTTTATCATAAGTAGGGAAACAAAATAGCACTTGACTAACTTGCAAATGTAAGATATATCTAGCTCTTGTGTAACATTGTGTATGAGAAATAAAAGAATGCAGCGAGATCAATGCACCACAATCATTATATTGAGAAAAAAGGGTATTGGATTTTATTGTCAGTTTGAAAACAGCAAATATTACTTAATATAATTAGTAATTCCTCATTGTGACAAATTGATTGAAAATGTTATTTGCTTTTAACTTGCGTACATGACCAAATTGTCGCTTCTCAACGTAAAACCAGATTTCAACCTTTAAAATGTCCAGCAGGACTGATCTAAAGCTATTAATAGCCCACACTGAATGATTTTTGCAACTTGCACTATAAAGGTCAAGGCATGTAATTCATCGTAAAAATATCATAATTTATTTTGTATTTGCAAATAAATAATACAAGAATAATCATATTAAGGCTCAGCGATCGTAGGATAGTATTATATAAATATAGGAGTGTTTTGAGGCAATATGTATCATATTACTTGTCTATCATTTACTATTGAAATAAGCTTTGCTTTTTGCAAAATTTTATTGTTGTTTTCCTTTTCCGCATTGCTCCTTAAAAGGGGAAATGCTTATCACAAAACTTATAAATAGGCATCGATATACGTTATAATTGATATCAAATGATATATAAATGCTTGTAACTTGTAACATTTGTTTTCATATACCCGAACTAGTTGACGCCTGTCATAGTTCTCCTTGCAAAAACGGCGCTACGTGCAACAGAGTTGGATCGGACTATAACTGTTCGTGTACCGACAGATACATCGGGTCAAGTTGTACTAAAGGTAACCCTATCAACTTTTAAGATTTCAGTTTTGCATCTTTTTAGCAACATTTACATAACTGGCAATATTAGTATTGCTTGTTGATTTCTTCAATTCAGTCAAATGTTTTTTTTAATTCACGTTTGTCTTTGCTACTCGTCAAATACGGTTACATTTGTAAATAGGCTCACACGCTTTTGACATCTAGGAGGCATTCGGTGTACGCTTAACAAAATATGAAAAGAAGATGAAGTGGGATAAAGAAGGCAAAATGTTTTCCTAAAACCTGCAGTAAAGTTGGCTCCGGTTCGACGGTTTCTATTGGTAGGTCGAATAAAGCAGGAATTGATTGGTTCGGGAATTAGGAGTTGATCTGCTCTTTTCGCCTTTATGATCGTTGAAGGCAACTCTTGAAAGGAAATTGCAAAAATAAATCAAAGAAACCCATTGCTACTATATTTTAACTTTTAGGGAAGAGAGAGTGGAAAGAAAAGAAACAGTTGATAGGAAAGAAAGAAGACAAAAACGCCAAAACTGTTGTAAAGGAGGGCGGCAGGTCATTTTTCGCCTTACTAGTAAAAAAATCCAGAGGAAACCTCGATCTTGCAGGGGACCCGCATTAGTCGCATCTTATGATACACTTGCAGTGTGATACCAACAAGTTGATTCTTAGTTTCTCTAATGTTACTTTAACAGAAGACATAGACGAAATCACCCCAGATGTAATATAAGTCGTCTCCTTCTCTATCTAAATAAACTGCAAGGTATAGCAGGCCGATTATTTCTCTAAACATGTGGGAGATATCTTTTGTTCATGGGTTTTTATTGTATCTTAAACACATAATTTGAAATAAGTACAGATGAATTTGAAGGCCTATTCATGTTATTTGACTGATTAGCACTGTCACGCTGGCTTGTCTAACTCTATTTCCGCATGGAGTAAATGCTCTGCTGCCTGATCTGAACTTAGATACCTGGCAATGTTAGAATGAGTGGAAATGACAAAGCTTAACCTTCAATCGGACGATATTAAACTACAATACTCTGATGATAAACCTTCTATGGCAAATTTAAGTAAACCATATTGGCAACATAAAGGGTTTGATTGAGGGTATCTTCGTGCGACTGCACAATATCTATATCACACACGCTTATATTTAACGAAATGAACGTAGTATTGTTGTAGTATGTGTTATCAGCAACAGTTACCCCTGTGGTTTTGAGGAAACATAGGCTTGCTGTATCCCGTTTAATATTGTCAGGAATCAGCTAATAATGTGCCTCTTGCTAAATCGGAAATATGCTGCTGGTGGGACATTGACGAAGTATAAATTGCCCCATCACAACACTTAAGATTTGCTTTTTCTTTTCTCACTTCCCGACCTTTTTTTGCGTTTTTGGTGGTGTCTCCCTAGGAACTTGAACAGCAAACAAACAAACAAATATTGAAATAAATAAGTAACCATGAAACTTGTTATGATCAAATACCCCTGTGTATGACAAAATTAATGATGAACAATCTACAGAACAATTGATACAGCTTTTTAGCAATTAATATATGATTATTTACAACCACTTTTTTTCCAAATATGAAACGTTAAACAACCCATTTGATTGCTATTGATTTGTTTTTGCATCTTCTTTTTCTTTATGTTACATGTAAGTTGTATGTAACCTTACTTTATATATCGCTGTTACATTGTACAGATTGTAGACCCGGACCAGCAACTATAATCATCGTAGTGGACTCCTCAACTAGCGAAAAAAATGCGTTTAACGCGTCCAAAACATTTGCTGCATCATTTGTTGAAGGATTGTCAATAGACGCTGGTGACTTCCGAATCGCAATGCTGACGTATTCAGTTGATGTCTATCTTGAGTTTGGGTTTAACAAGCATACGAATAAAACGTCTATGCTAACAGCTATAGCCAATATCTCAAATGTTGTTGGCCCATCTTATCTGCATAGAGCTCTGAGGAAGGCACGGGAGGTAAGCATAATTATCAACCACACATGGTAACAAATTACGACAACTTTTTTATATTCTTATGATCATGTTACCGTAAAGTTCATATATTCATAGCTTTATACCCGTTTTGCAGATTCAAAGTGTCACGACAAGACACCTTACCGATCATACACGTCCAATTTTTATGATTTATATTTCCAATAGATTCTACTTTCTGATTCCCGATTCGGAGTGAAACAATATATCCTCCTTCTATCAGACGGGCTTTCTACTTATCGACAAGAAGCCGTACAGCAGTCACGAACTTTGAGGGCGCGGGGTGTTAAGGTTCTGTGTGTGGGGATAGGAAGTCAGGTAGCCCAGGAGGAACTGCTTCAGATAGCTACAGATACTCCGTACGTCTTTTCTCCTAGTAACGACGATGTCCTCAATGTCATTCTTATGGAGACAGTGGATACGAATTGTACAGGTATATATTGTTATTGTTGCCTATAAATAGTACATTGGTGAGTTAAAAGGAATTCAGAAAATGACAGGACAAATACAGATATATTAGTATAGTGAACATGTTGAAAAAAAAAATAAGAACAGCGATACAATATCCATACTGGGAAGTACGGATCTATTATGATGAAAACTGCCTACTTATTGCGCAATCTAGGCAAGTAATTGAGCAATAAATTAGAAGGTTTCCCGGCGAATAGTGCATTCACCTTTCACCAAGACGACCGGGGTTTGATTCCTAGTTTGACTACTTGTACTTTTCTAGGTACTCTAATTTCCTCCAACACGCCCAAAATTAAGACTCGCTCTTTGTGCTACATATGTACAAATTCAGAGGCATACCTATCAGTTAATTAACATCAATCATGATTATTAAAAATTGAATTTCATGTTTTTTCTTTAAGCGTGATATGTATGTTACTACTTTTCCCATATATAATTTTTTGTCGGATTCATTTGAATTATGCATTATCCCACTTTCCAGATTGCCTGATCAATAAGGTCTCCGACATTGTGTTGTTGGTAGATGTATCTAAATACCAGTCAGCTCAGCTACAGAGGACATTGGACATCGTTAGGTTCTTCATACATCAGGTCCGGACGTATTTCTCCGATACACGGATAGCGATGGTCACGTTCGATGGCCGTCAACATGTGAAGTTTGGCCTGACTGACGATCAAGAAACTGACGGTATACTTGTCAAGAGTCAGATAGGCATTACTACGTACGATCGGGAGTCTGACGTCAAAGCAGCGTTAGCGTTTGTTCGTACTTCTGTATTAAGTGGTGCTCGAGGAACGAGCCGAAATTTTGTGGTGGTGTTCTCTAATGAAGAATGGACAGACGTGGATGGCATTGTACGTGAGAGACAGGCCCTGAATATGGACAATGTCACTGTGGCCTTTGTTCCTGTGGGACTCCCAGCCGAGCTTGATACCGTGTATTCTGTCGCCTACCAAGAAAGCGACGTATACTACGTCGGAAATAACGTGGAGGATCACGATGAGGAGAGACTGAAGGCCCTGATAGCTCAGACGTCTCACGTGGAATGTGTTAATGATTTGTTTGATAAACGACAGTGAATGGTGCTGAATAGATGTTAGATTGTCAACATACTGCACGAAACGTTCTGTGAAGAAGACCTTTATATAAACCACAAAACAATATGAAGCATCAAGTTGAGTGTACATACGTTTTCGGATAAAAAAACCCACCTTGCCATTCGGCAGGTTTTAACTGTTTATTCAAAAGACTTTTTTTTGTTTTTCCTTTCTATTTTTTAATCTTCAATCTATTTTCAAACACCTTGTACTACTCCTGGTGTAAATGAATCCTCACGGCCACATTCTTGTTACTTTATGACGACATTAAGGCTATGATATTTTTCTTCTGTGCTCATTTCTATTTTTGTCATATCATTTTGCAGATCATATTTCGCGATCACATAAATGACCAGCGAAATTGCGAAAATATCATCCCGCGTAAATCTATTCACGATTGTATAGCTAGTGAAACGATTTTGAGTATATGCCATCTTGAATTATCTATGATATAAGATGACGATCGCTCCCAGATATGTACTGAAAGTCACTCCATTTCAAACTGAATATATAAGAGTAATACTATAATTGGTTTGTCAGATAAACACTGTCTGTGAATACCATGCCCAGCTTTGATTACCTCGGAGGATTGTTTCATTACCTCGGATATTGTTAGTAGTGTAAATGATGGACTGACTAAAAACGTTGTAAAGTGACTATCTCCATTTACCTAATGTAATGTACCGTTCTGGATTTACTCGTCTAGTATGGTTAGGCTAAAGTGCACCTCCAACGTACATAATGTCATCTTGTATCTAACATCGTTTAAAGCCGCTGTCAGTCAATCAGTCTTATTGACTACAATGTGTGGCGATATACTTGAGTGTGAGCCAAACCTTTACAATATATGCAGTAACATCCACTAACCACTACCAATGTAGCCACTGATGCGTTGCAGCCGTTTTTAATTCTTTACTTGGGCAACTAAAGTAACCTAGTTATTCGAGAACTGGGTTTTCCACAGGAATGTGCGTGTTTTCCCCCACTTTCACAGCAATCCATGTCAGGGTAATAAACGATTGACAGGTCAGGACTACCAATTATAAGTTATTTCAAAATGTACATGTTCCTTTCGAAACAGAATAGTAGCATTTAATCTGGCAAAATAGTACACCAGTATGTTTTATTAAGTGTTATGTTAATATTTACTGCTTTAACAGGGGCTAATTTTAAATACTGTGCTAATGTAACAGGCGAGATTTTATACCCATGTTCTCTACTAAGGTTTCCTTATGCTTAGGAATAAGTAAGACAGGCAAACACACACTTTTAACTAAATGTATTATACCCCGTCTATACAGTAATATACAACACATCACCTAACAATTACACTAGCTCGGTCTCACTATAGATACTCATGGCTTCACTACGTGTTATATAAATATAAGTACCACCCTCCCGATTCCACAGATATATAAGCTACACTAAGAAAGTAAAGTACCCCTCGACCTTGCACCTACATCAAGAGAAACAAAAGATAGAGAAGCAAGAGAGTCGAGCTGACCAGTGACTCAACGCGTTCGTCTTGCTACCGAACCACACGTGCACTCGGCTATTTATACCCTACTCCAACAATACCCGATAGAAAACAAATAAGAAACAAGATTACATAACGTTTACGGAATTACCCTGCAGTAGCGGAAGTAAATAAACTTGCGGTCTATTAATAACGAGCCTGGATGAACGATAACATGAACACGAATGCACGAGGTTACTTCTACACAAATATACAAAATATCTACCCGTTACATTCCCCCCTTTTCAAAGAAAATGTTAATCCTACAGTAAAACACTAGGTAACATTTGCCTATACGAGATATAAATTTAAAAATATTTTCCAAATATTCTCGACTATATGCAGCATTGCAAATTACTTGTTTCACAAAATAGATTACAATGTTTAGAAATATGTTTTCCTTATATAATGATCATACATTATTAATAAAATAAATCAATATTTCCGTCATAGATATACAAAAATTAGCGACTGTGAATATGCTTAATACAATACATTTTAAATTATTTCAAAAATTGATAAATTTTATAGAAATTTCAACAAAAGTTTACATGTAATCTTCTGTAAAAATTAAAATCCTTTTAGATAGTCAATCACAAATAAATTCTGAATATCAAATTTATCATTATTGCATTAATATCAAATATCTACACATATATATACAAATATCACAACAATTACAAAAGTCACAGTCTATGCCACGATTTCGACACGATTCACAGTTCTTACGTGACGCGATAGTCCACACTGGAAACAATAGGCACACTATATAACACTAATACTAACAGTCACAGTCACCCACAGCTCTACATGGGACTACACAGAACACACAGAACAAAGATAAGAAAACGATGCCCCCCCCCCCCCAACACAGATTAGCTATTTCATCAGTCCCACAGAAATTGGTCCTCCTCCGGTAGCTGTACTGGGTGAGGGGTATGGTCTTGACCCCACCCTCGGACAGAAGTTGTCACACGAATCTCGTCCCCTTATCTAAAGGTGACTTCAATAGTCTCATCCCAGAAATACAGAAATTCCAAAATATTACAAAATCGGCAAAGGTTGGGCGGGTCATTTGTAGGTTTACTTGCTGGACAAATGCAGGTGTCTTGTCTTCGCTTGTGTCAACACAATGATAAATTCAATGCACAGAAATAATTCGCTGTAGGTGTTGTGACATGGTTAGGAAGAAATTCATATGGAATATAAACATCTAATTTTCTTAGCAGTTGAAATTCTACCCCGAGTTATACAAAGACCCACAAATTCACGTTTACCACACACTCTTAGTCATATTTTGAATGATTCACTAGCTAAAGGTTGTAAAAAACGAAGATATATACACATCTCGAGGTAGTCAAGTTAGCTGACTGGAAGTCCGATAACGACAGACAATACTACACAACGCACGTCAAATGCAAGCTTCGTTCTTTGTAAATGTTATTTTACTTATTTGTATACAGAAATAAAACGGTGATTGGCATCTCATATTTTATTTTACTTTCTCTTTCAGTTTTTTGTTTATATTGCATCCATTCCGACACCCATCATCGTATGATATTTAGGTTTGTTTTACGAACTAAAACACCAAGCTAACAAGGTAGTTACAATCTTAAGTACACCAATACCCTTAAACACACTGTGCAATATTCTTCCTGATCTATTTATCGGAAAAACCGTTTGTTTTTTGTTAAAATGTTATACAGGAAGTAAATGTGCATGAACGAATCAGAAAAGATCAGAAATTTTCAGGTAAGTTTTATTTTGTGAAGTAATAACTATACGAATGAAATGTATATTTTGTACAATGCGTGTATGTACAATGTCGCTACATGTTAAAGTAATAATAACGATATAGCAATTAAGACATTATGTCGGGTTCAGGCTACCTTTCCTTTTGTTTCGGTGTCCGTTTCTGTTGAACTAATATCCTATTTATTTATTTTTCTTCCTGTCCTGTTCTAATGTGATGACACTGTAGAATATATTATCTACTTCACTATAATGACATTCACGTGCATTGGATTGTAATATAATACACTGTTAAAATGTCTGATTTGTTTAGCCGTAACGCCCTATTCATTTTTTAAGCTTAGGTGTTATCATTCAAATTGGCAAGTGTCAAGTTCCACTGTAAATTCGATGCGTAAATGAACATATTCATGCCTAATTGAAGAGGCGTCCCATTCCTGATAGCTAGGTTTATTGGTTTCAGTGAAAAATTATCTATATTCTAATTCAATAATTTACTGCCAAGTGCCATTCTTAATGTTTATCTCATATTCGATGCGTGTAAACTTGGACATACTTAATATAGTTTAAACGTCTGATTTGTTTAGCCGTAACGCCGTATTCATTCTTTAAGCTTAGGTGTTATCATTCAAATTGGCAAGTGTCAAGTTCCACTGTAAATTCGATGCGTAAATTAACATAATATCATGCTTAATGGAAGAGGCGTCCACTTCTTGATAGGTTTATTGGTTTCAGTGTAAAATTATCTATATTCTAATTCAATAATTTACTGCCAAGTGACATTCTAAATGTTTATCTCAAATTCGATGCGTGTATACTTGGACATACTAAATAAGGCGACGCACTTCTCTTGAGTTAATTGGATGCTGGCCAGTTATTCCACTGACAATGATTTTATGTAAACCACATTTGATGCGTGCAAAAGTAAAAGGCTAAACATATTGTACTTCGTTTTCCTGAATAGGATTCTGTGTAATAACATTTCGATTGCAACCAAATTAAATAAGCGAATAGATAATGGCAAGTTGCAGGCTTAGGCCAAATGTCAATTCGATGTTTACAACCTGTTTTGTTTATCAGTTTTAGTTATAGGTTTTCATATGTCTGATTGGTTAATTGGTTTCCATGAAAGAACTCCCCTAAAATGATTGGTTCCAACCAACCGCCTCCACAATAAATGCATTTATTCAATATTTACATTTGCATGGCAATGAAACAAGAAGACAAGGTTAATGTTTTTATTGATGAATAATAATAGAATCCATCCCTGATGTGAGGTATGAATAAGGTAATTCAAACCCCAGGGATAAACTATTGAGCAGGAGACCCGAGGCTTTGCCGAGGGTCTTTTGCTCAATATTTCCACCCGAGGGTTTAAATATCATTACCCTTACCTTAAACGCCGGAAATGCGGATATCTCGGTCTAGTATGCAAGAAAGGAATATCCACCCCTTCAGGTGAGGGAGCAAGAAAGAATATACACGTACCTGCTGTTATCCATTGCATGTTGAAACTGGCAACTTATGTGGGAACCCACTGCAGAATGGTGGATTTGCTTTTATGCCTTCTACTTAGGGAAACAAAAACGACCAAAATAAACCTGCTTCACCAGTTGTAATATTTGGAATCTTTATGTGTTCTCTCTACTTCTAGCCAATCTGACAATGCCTCACTTTTGACATTATTGTCGAGCGTTCGACAAGGTGGGAAAGGCAATGGGTTATATCTAAAATATTTTAAAAATGTTGTTAATACCTGCTTAACGCTCAGCATTTAGGGTATTTGCTTGGTTTGGTATGGTTAAACAGTGTTAAACGTCCTATCAACTGCTTAAGTTATTTAAGGACATACATCCATGTTTGTAATGCATGCGTGTATGTGAATTGGAGGCAGGCGATGTTGGTATAGTTGCTTCTTTTTGATAATGTTGATCTGATGCGGACGCTATAATGCACCGTAGGAACCCAGCACAGCATTCCGCCCGGTCACATCATACTAACAACGGGTAAAGTGGCTTATTGGACAGAACCAATTGCCTTCCTCACCTTGGCAAACGTTTAAAAGTAAAGCCAAAATTCAGGTTTCGCCATGCAAGGCCCTAGTAAAGAAAAGGTAGGAAGGATTAGAGAGCAACATAAAGATCCCAAGAATTTCAATGTGTGCAGCAGATTTGTTTTGGTAGCGTTTGTGTCCCCAAGTAGAGGACACAAATGCTTATCCGAAATTCCCACATACGTCGCATCTTACCGGCGATCATGCAGTGGGTAACAGCAGGTGTATTTTTTCGTAATTCCTGATCTGCAGGGTATTGGGGTAATTGAACCATCTGGCTGACCCGTTGTCAGTTAATGCGACTGGACGGAATACTGTACTAGGTGCCTTCGGCATGGTACTTTAGCGAGACAGCATTATAAAGTAGGCATCTGATCCGCGCTGTCGCAAGGAGGCAAATACATCAAGCGAGTTTTGCAAGCCTCTTGGCATATCCTTAATGACCTTGGCTGTTAGTGTGACGTTAAACAAAACAAAAGCAAATCACAGGAATAGTCCCGCAGTATAACAGTAAAAGTTGCATGGGATTCGACTTAGATTTTAATTATTTTGACTTAAGTCAGGTGGTTGAAAATCTAAAATATTTTAAGTTCCATTTTAAGGGATTTGATAGGTCACCCGGACTTGGAACAGAACCCTTTGATTACCTTTACTCCATTTGGATGAATGTTCATCACTTCAGCCAACTGTGAGGCCGTGTGAAACAAAAAAAGTAAATCAGAAGGGAAAAATATAAAGATCCCGATTGTTGCAAATAGTGCAGAATGGTCTTGTTGGTGATCGCTGATGTGTCCCAAAGAATACGCATTAAGTCATCACCTCAGTCAGCTCTTACAACATAGAATGGGTAGCGGCAAATATGTTTCTTTCTTAATACCCAAGCTACAGATGTGGGTAAATAATGAAGATCAAATTAGATCAAGTATACATGTCGTATATTAACATGTATTATCTGGTTGAAGTACATTTTATGCCTCATCATATAGTTGAAATAGTTCAGGGCTAATGGTATATTGCATAAATTGTTATTCAGATTGTGTTTGTACAGTACAGGGTTTTCACGACAATTGAAAATTGAATGGTTGTTTTTACTTTCCGAAGCGAAAAGCATTACTTTCTCAATATGGTGTTTTATTAAGGATGGCAATGGTTATTACATTAGCAAATTTGGTAAAGTTAGTTAGTACTTGACGATTATTTCCGTCCAACGGATGTTAGCGAAAACCAAACGAATCGCTCCATATAAAGACTAACATAAAATATTTGAGTTCGTCACTGTTTTTTTCAGGCTCGTTGAGATTTTGTATCAGATTAATATGTACCAGTATTGTTTGTATTAATACAAAATAGCGGATATGGGCAATGTGGAATCATATATAGAGTGAATGTATTCATAGAATATTTTTCAGGGAAAACGATTTTCTCCCAGAATGTTTTGTGTACACGGCGTGGTCCTCGTACTACTATCCTTGGTCATTATTTTAAATGGTGAGTAAAGAGCAAATAAACACAAAGAAGGTAAATTTCATATTCAGAACGATTTTGCTTTTGAGATCAAATAGATCACAACAGTATTATCAGTATACCGATGCAGACAAAACCTGTTAAGGTTGTTACATGTATGTATTTAATTTGGTTGTTTGTAACGGCGTATACATTTTGTATACATGTACCATATTTTTCTGCCTAAATAAACGTATATATGTACGTAGATAATCGAATATCGTTAATTTTATTCGTTTATAGTGAAAGTAAAATTAAATTATATATGTTTATGTATCAAAGGTTATATAACTAAGCAAGAAAAGGAATCAAAACGTCATTTTCAGCTGAACGAGGCATCGTGCAAAAAATGTGTTGCCTACCAGAAAAAAACCTAACAAGAAAGCATTCAATGATTTTACAACTTGATTGTTTATATAGAAGAAGTTATGTATCTCTGTCCGTCTCTTTCTCGTTAAATCTGCTTTCATGTCTTCTGTCTGTCTATCTGTCTCTCTCTCTCTCTCTCTCTCTCTCTCTCTCTCTCTCTCTCTCTCTCTCTCTCTCTCTCTCTAACACACAAACTCACACTTATATCGATGTTACAGGTGTAGACTCAAGTGGCGACATTTGCCAACTGGGCTGGAGATGGTATAATAACCACTGTTATCTGTCAAGACATGATGTGACCACATGGACCAATGCACAGGTATTAAATTCTGTTTATTTTACAACATATGTTATTTATGCTTAATTTATATTTGAGAGAGAGAGAGATTCCATAAACATTTGTCGAGTGTACATTCTCGACAAAACTGCAAGTAAAACCTTTGATGATTACATGTATTTTGTAACAATGGCGTATATGATCACTAAGCACAAGGTTAGATCGAAAAGGCTTACTGAAGGTAAAAAGCACAGTTCAGACGCGCAGACCTCTTACATGTACTTGTAGACTGTACAAAACCTGGCTGCATAACAATTATAGTCTTTGCCCATGTTTTGGACGTTACAAAATCATCACGTTTACAGCAACTCGGAAATCTAATTATAACAATGCTCTATTATATGCATTGGAACAGAAAGTCAATAATGATGTTTTATGTTTTTATGTATTACCGGTCGCACAATTGTATTGATTAATGCATCATTTAATGTATATGTTTATTGTATTGATAGCACTAACTGTATTGCTATGTACTTTAAAGCGCTTTAGAGTAGCTTATTCTAGCTTGGTAAGTCGCTATATCGAATATTGCTATTTTTATTTATCTGGTATAAAGCTAAAGATTAACAAGACACTCTTGGAACATATTTCAAGAATAATTAATACCAAACTATTTAAAAATGCAAAATGTTTACTTGTCACTTTTGGCTCATAGAATGAAACTAATTAATATCTGCGGTGTTATTACCAATATTCAATAATGTACAACAAATTAATGCTATTATCTTAGTTAATACGCGTTAAAGCGATACACTTTTGTTTCGTGCTCTTACATGACCTTTATTCGCAGAAATAAGCATGCATAAGTTTTAAACGTTTATGACGACTAAGTTAGTATGTAGTAATTTGATACATTATTCACGTTTCCTTTTTAACGTTTTAGCAAGAATGTCAGAGGCTTGGTAGTAACCTTGTAACTATAGAAACTGCTCACGAAAACTCGTGGCTAAAGGGACTTGCAGGCTTATCAGGTAGTACTTCATCTTATCACAAACACGATTTCATGCCAATAATTAATGTATTTCTAAGCATGAATATTTTATTTCAAATAAGTTTTAAATTCCACCTATATCGTTCCTTGCATCTCCGACAAATCATTAGACGAAACATCTGTACGATCCAGTTTAATCAATTTGAGGCACGCTGTATCTAATTCCAAATTTTAGATTCCATATTGTCTAATGGTATGAAGCAAATCGAATATCAATGCACGCATCTTCAACAACAATTGCAAAATACGGCTTGTTCGATCATGTGTACAGGGTAAATGCTTAACATTTTGTTAAATTTTAAAATATACATGTCATGTGCGAAAGACGAGTTAGAGATACTTTTGTAACTTAATGACAGGGTGGTGGCGAATCATACCGTTTTATGTAGTTATGAGTAAGTTTGAACAGGTTTGATTTTAAAAGTGACAATATAAATTTTATGACTTTCAACTTAAGTCAATTTTGCTGTACAATCGATATATATGATAACCCCAGATCGTCGAAAATCCGCCGGCAATAGATAATTTTGTGAATTTGCACCACAATTAGGACACATTCCGAACAGTTCATTAGAGAAGTACCAAAAGTTCTCCTGTTCATCCGCGATAAGTGCTCTAAAGTAAACATATATAACCTCCCTGTTTGAGAAATCGGATACTATTATGATCAAAGATGGTGTTGAATTAACTCCAACCATTTTGATTGAAAATCAGACTCTCAATTTCACGGACTTATCTGATATATCAATTGTACTGTTGAATCGGACTGAATACACAACATGTCCATTTTTATAGGATGCATCACAGAATTCAAATTTATTACGATGAAAAAATATGCATGCATTAATAAATGCTGTGAGTTTAAAGATTCACAAAATCTTAATATTGCGCGTGCACTGTTTACGATTGTGCATATGTAATTTCATATGTTGATACGCTCAAGTTGACCTTTAAATGTATAACTCACATGACCTCTGAAACATGTGTTAAGGTGAACACTGAAAATATAATTTCATGTAGCCTGCGGGTGTTTTACTATCATTGTCTGGTGGTCAATTCCTCTGAACGAGCTTTTAATGGGTTGATAGTACCCAGTATATAATTTCGTATTCTTAGCCGACACAGCAAAGGTAGTTCCGGGACTGAGTTATTTATATAAATATTCCCTCATAAAACAACGAAAATCATTTTTGACTAATGATATTTGAGTATTTAGTATGGGAGCAAAGAAACAAAATATATTAATGTGCTTATTTTGTTTGATCGTATGAAACTGGTCTAAATTGTTATTAAAAGGAAAGTAGTCTGATGATAAAACGATCACGTTATAGTGCATATAAAATTTGAAGGCATGATTTAATCTAATTGATTAATAGGTGCGTGGATATATTTTGTTGAAAGATAACCCTTGGATTGGAGCAAATGACCAAAGTAGAGAAGGGGACTGGAGATGGGTCATAGACAACTCTAAAGTGACATTCTCAGACTGGGGATCGGGTGAACCAAATAATGATCTAGGTCACGAAGATTGTGCGCAGTTCTACCACACCAATCAATGGAATGACAACATCTGTACAGTTTATTGTCCTTTTATTTGCGAAAAAGGTAAGTATACAGTAAGCTTACGAGGTCCATACAAAAAAAGACATCATTGCAAAACCTTATAAATCTTGGACGTACAATTTCACAAAAAATATACCTTTGTTACACATGCCTTCCTATAGTGTTATTAATTATAAGTTCGATTTTATTTACGCTTCAGTATTACATTGTGTTTTCTAAACAAATGATTATTTACATGTATAATGCAATCTTTCATTTCATACTGCATGTTTGTTGCCGTCTTTGTTTTTTGCAGCAAAGTAAACATTTCTTAACACTTTGTAAAGGATCTTGATTTTCTTAAGGGCTGCCAGTCAGTTGGCACATTTTACCTGGTTTTGTTTGGTGTTGGTTTTATGCAGTTAAGCGTCCTATAAACAACTAAGTTTAGCGAAAGACGTTGTTCGATGTGTGAAATGTATGCATTTATGCGTCAGTTCTACTTCGTTTTATGTTTCCTAACTCCTTTCTTGACAATAACTTACGTTTGAACTTAGAGTTTGTTGATCATTGAGTTCTGGGACGTTCTACTGACAGGAGAACTCACACAAACACAAACACGTGTTACAGGCAATACTAGCAGGTAGCCATCTTTATTACACGAGAGTATTATGGGATAGAGGTTACAGAATCGGTGTATACAAAATTGAGACAAGTAGTATATTTATACGAAACGCATAACTATCATCAACAGAGTTGAACCTTCGCCAAAACGGGGTTATGTCCAGTGGCGGGAACATACCAAAATACTCACAATGGTAGTAGTTATGCATCAGTAATTGGTTACCTTCAACAAATTACTAGTCCTTCGTCAGTAAAATGTGACTGGTGGAATACCATGTTGTGTGCATTATTTAGTAAGGTATTAGCACTAAACTGTTGGCATCAGGTCCTTACCATTGCATTACACACCTAGAGGAACGCACTTAAATTACTTAAAGAGTAAATAGGACGCGAACTTCTACCAAACAAATCCAAACACTAACAAGTTTTTGTCCTTTACTGATATATAGCGTTTTAAAGAACGCCTACAGGAAAGAATCTGTCCATTCGCACCATATTACCATCTCACTCTTCTTTATTATATTTGATTACATACGTCTATAATAATCATATACTCAATCCTAATAATGGTGACCGTATTTTTGATATTTTTATGCTAAACATATTTATATTTTCAATCAATGCATCCTCATACAATGTACTTTCCAGAAGATAAATGTCTCTCCCATCCCTGTTTAAACGGAGGGACGTGTACCAGGTCAGGATCAAACTTCAACTGTAGCTGTACAAATGAATACCAAGGAATCAACTGTCAGCTTCGTAAGTTTTCTTAATCTCTTTAAATTATGTAAGTGTTTTACCAAGGCATATATGTTCACATACAAATATATGATCCGAGTGTGGCGGTCAATTTATGTACCACGGCTATGTTGTCTGACGTCACTATGTGAAAACAGTTCTGTTTTATTTCACATTCATTATTAACTAACAATACCATTTAATTTGATCTGCTCTCCATATATGTATGGTTAAGGTATGAGTTAATATAAGATTACTTAAATAACTTTAAATGTAAGCATAATATAGCAAGTATTTTACAATTACAGTATCATGCAATATCCTTGAAATTATATTTAAATGGGTTGGAAAAGCAACTTGAAACATAAGGGTTATTAAATCACCTTTTTGAGAATATGCCTTGACAGCAGTCGTTATAAGTAACATTGAATATTGACCTACATATGAACCGCCATAAAATAAATAACCATAACCTGCATACCAGCGAATAAGCAGTTAAGTTTTAAAAACTATCTTATCTTAACGCTCCAGTTTCTCATTATATAAAAATATATTAGTTGCCGATCGGATACACACTGTAACGGAAACACAATGTCGTTCTAATTAAATATGTGTTGTTATCACAAAGCTTAACACATTACTAAAAAATATCCATGTCTACACCGTAGCTTTTAGTTCTTTGCTGTAAAATGAACAATACATTATTAATTTAAATCTGCCCTGCATATTGCACGAATTATTGAGAAATTACGTTCAAAGTGATTACCTCAAAACACTTCGATTCAATGATAAAATAAAGATTCGTTCACAATGACAATATCCTGTTATATCAATAATATCATATTTGTTTCTCTAAGCGAAAGTAATAGTTATAAACTAAAGCGCAAAACGATCGTATATTCATTTTTCAAAAAAAAAAAAATTAGCTCGATCGTTTCTGAAGTAAATAAAACGGAATTCGCATCAACAATATATAAGCGGAAAACGAAACCTATATGCGTTTTAGACCCGAAACCCTAATATTTGTTAAGCAAATTTAATGAACTGACGTAATGTGCTTTCTTCCGGTACTGTCCAGGAAGTGGTGGTTAAAACTTTGGTAACGCTTCGTCACGAAACCATGTTTCCTAACTCCTTTCTATGGGATTCTGTCCAATGGCGGGAACATACCATTAACAATGGTAGTATATAAATATCAGCAACTGGTGGTTAAACCATGTCTATCAATTTTATAACCGTAAATTATACACAAATGTGAAGTCGATAGCAGGAGGGCTATCGCCCTACTTTTACAGCCGCATCGGGAAATAGCTACGCTGTATAATATGGTGTGCAACGTTCAACCAATTTTCAGTTAGTTATGCGTCTTAAATAAATGGACAGGTACATTGAACATAATGCCCATGCTCCGGAATCGTTTTCAAACGGCGACTAAAACGGCAAACAACGTGATTTGCAACCTGTGTTGTCCACTGTGTCTGAGGAGAGAAATCAGATGCGAGAGGATGGTTTGAGGCCACAGCGTCCCAACGTCGGTTGATGCATGTGTAGAAGGACCGGCCAGATTTCGGGGAGGGTCTATTATGGTTTTTAGGTATTGACAATGACTGAAAATAACTTTGTAGTTACCGAAAGCAATCTTACAGCTGATATATCAATATGCTAATCCCTTCGCATTTCTCTTATTCAAGGCGAAATCTGACATAATATTCGGCTAAAACGTGACTACACGTTGCAAGATTGTGTCGTTTCCGACCAACCTTACAGGCGGAGATTGCCAGACGCGGTGGAAACACGGGTATTGATTAGACATGGGAATTGACGACAGGTCACATTACTATAACGGCGTGTACGACAATACAACACAGATCTATATACATTAAGGAGAAGGGACAACATTAACTGTTCAATACATTTATAATGATTTGTTTTTATAAAACTATAAACAAAACCATTTTTATTTTATTTTTATTCGCTAGTAATTTACCATATTATGTAAGCTGCCGATCTTCTCTCTCAAAATTATCTTATTTCAATAATATTCATTCAAAATGATGCACTAAGGTTTGCAAAAGGAATTACATACACTGTAACATTTCGCATATACACTGGTTGCCCTTTTTATGTTCTACAACTTTATTGCCTGACCTTATAACATCTACGTAAACATCTTTTATTGGCCTTGACGTTGTCCTTCTTTGTTGTGTCTGTTCTATATTCACTTAAGATTAACAATACTTAATAAATTGATTCTGCTCTGAATATTACGTGTATATAAGGTTAGCTTACTTCAAAAACACGAATTGGTCGAAAATACGTATACAAATATTCACAATGACATATCATGTACAATGTTTACTATTTAATTTCAAATGGGAAATATCTTTCATATTTAGTACAACGGAAACTCCCATTTACGCCAAGTCTTGTAAGAATGTTGTCACATGCAAATATATAGGATTACCATATGCATCTATGCAGATGTACATCGTACAACATAATGTAGTATTATATCCAATATATGTTTCATTGTCGATTCGTTCATATGGGAACATTTAGGTAACTCAGCCAACAATCATTCCCCTTCCCATATTAGCAGCAATGAATGATAAATGTCTCCAATCTGCATGGTGACTTTGTTGCTGTTGATATTTTTATATTTGTGTTTTGAGTTCTGAAAACACGCGTCCAAATACATATCTGTCTCTGGTGTGAAATTTCTATCTGTATAAAACTGATTTGATAGTCTTGGTAGTAGAATGATGCCCGGAATATGACTGATTCAGGAATGCAAACATTCATAATATAACTGCTCAGACAGGTCCTAAAAGTATCCTCTTGTTGTCGTTCCTCATTAGAATTACATGTGTTAATATGATAATTTATTGGTTATTATCTATTTCATCATTTACGATAAGACTTCACCTCTTATCACGACAGAAAATCCCTGTTACGGTCAACCTTGTAAGAATAGAGCGACGTGCCAATATGCTGGGTCGACATATGCATGTTCGTGTACATACGGGTTCTACGGTGTCAACTGTCAGCACCGTAAGCAATAACGCAAATTAATGGCAGATTATCAATATATTTGTTTTATTTGTATTTACAGTTATTTACATTAGGAACCATAAAAATATAACAATGTATCCTATACCTTGTCTATATCTTTTTATTGCAATACGCTTGATTCATCCAGATTTTTTAATTGCCTCCATCTTCAATTAACAACCAGATTCATGAAAAGGGAAATCTGTTTATCACAAAACTTTATATCAATTTACGATTTCTGTGGCACACATTGCGTGTAACATGTACCACTTGTTTCCATTTACACGATACAGTTGACGCCTGTCTGATATCTCCTTGCACGAACGGCGCTACGTGCAACAGGGTTGGATCGGACTACAGCTGTTCCTGTACCGACAGATACACCGGGTCAAATTGTACCAAAGGTAAAAAAAATAATCATTTAGTTAATTCCTTTGCCTTAAGCGACACATTTTTCACTTCCTGTTTGTATATATGTTACTAGCTTATTTCCAAAACAATCCTTTTGAATTCGTTAAGGTGTTTGTGCCCTTTAACGCAGACGATTGGGCAAGTTTTTGACCACATTGAAAATATACTCCCTAATAATATAAGGTTAAATACACACATATGTTCCGACAGCGTGCTAGTTACCTACAAAAGAGAATTCAGATATACCACATATCAGTAAAAATATTAAACTTAGAAGAAACGATCCACAAAGTTAAATTGGCTATGGTAGGCAAGATTTTTTTACCCCAAATACCTGCATTTTAGTTCGGTCAGGTCTGGTCATACATCCTAAATTCGATTGATACACATAGACAATCTAGTTTGTCTAAATAGATATGAATCAGAAGGGAAACGTTGTTTGATTAGCATACAGTTATAGTTTAGACCCTTCATATTTATATTGTATATATTACGTCTGTAATGTTGCTGGATACATTGTTTTACATTTTCCAGATTGTAGGCCCGGGCCAGCTGATATAGTAATTGTATTGGACTCCTCGAGTAGTGCTGAAATCGTGTTAAATGCGTCTAGATCATTTGCAGCATCAGTTGTTGAAAGATTGTCAATAGACGTTGATGACTTCCGAATCGCAATACTGACGTATTCAGTTGATGTCCACCTTGAGTTTGCGTTTAACAATCATACGAACAAAACATCATTGCTTACTGCTATACACAATATCTCAAGTGGGTCAAGTGCGTCCTATCTACATACAGCGCTGAGGAAGGCATCGGATGTAAGGCTTTTCATAGTATCTTCCACACATGGTGCAAAACTTCATTGATTCCTTTACACTCATACAACTAACTCACCAGAAAAAATAGTAATGTAATATCGTTCACACATTAAAAGGACTTCCATATAAAAGCATATTACAAATACATAACTAATATCATGCAGGTATATTTGCTAATAAATCACTAGTTTTGTCTATCAGTACCTTATTTAAATCACATTGAACTATTTAAATTTGACAACCCTACTTATGATTCACGTTTTTTCTCTACGCTACGTTATATTTTTCCAACAGATACTACTTTCTGATTCCCAATTTGGAGTGAAACAATATATCCTCCTTCTATCAGACGGACTCTCCACCTATCGACAAGACGCCGTACAGCAATCACGAAATTTGACGGCGCGGGGTGTTAAGGTTCTGTGTGTGGGGATAGGAAGTCAGGTAGCCCAGGAGGAACTGCTCGAGATAGCTACAGATACTCCGTACGTCTTCTCTCCTAGTAACGACGATGTCCTCAATGTCATTCTTATGGAGACAGCGGATATGGATTGTACAGGTATATAAGTCTTTCATTTTTAAGTTTAAAATGAAATTCAGGAAAAAATACAAGACAAATAATGTATATTTACATCAGGAGTGACTATTGGGATAGTTCATAACTACCGGGAATATAACACGTACTCAAAACCATGAAATCTGAAAAGAATACTGATGGTGTTTTTTTGCAAGTACATTTGACAATTATTGGGCGGAAAATTGGCACAATTGATAGCACTACCGGCTTCTACAAAGACAACGATGGCTTGATATCCTGACTGAACATGAGATGGTACGACGTCACCTGCTCGAAACTCTGTGCTTTTTTGGTTTCTTTAAAAACATAACAATAAGGACACCCTTTACCACCGAACCAACCAGAGTAATAAATATAAGTTGGTAACATCTTCATAATTGTTGTTAAATAAATAAGTTTAATTTAAGTATATAATATATTTACGTACTGAATTGACACATTCATAAAATTCTTTCCAGATTGCCTGATCAATAAGTTCTCCGACATTGTGTTGTTGGTAGATGTATCTAAATACCAGTCAGCTCAGCTACAGAGGACATTGGACACCGTTAGGTTCTTCATACAGCAGGTCCGGGCGTATTTCTCCGATACACGGATAGCGATGGTCACGTTCGATGTCCGTCAACATGTGAAATTTGGCCTGACTGACGATCAAGACACTGACGGTATACTTGTCAAGAGTCAGATAGGCATTACTACGTACGATCTGGAGTCTGACGTCAAAGCAGCGTTAGCGTTTGTCCGTACTTCTGTATTAAGTGGTGCTCGAGGAACCAGCCGAAAGTTTGTGGTAGTGTTTTCTAATGAAGGTTGGACAGACGTGGACGGTATTGTACGTGAGAGACAAGCCCTTAATTTGGACAATGTCACTGTGGCGTTTGTTCCTGTGGGACTCTCAGCCGAGCTTGATACCGTGTATTCTGTCGCCGACCAAGCAAGCGACGTGTACTACGTCGGAAATGACCAGGAGGACCACGACGAGGACAGACTGAAGGCCCTTATAGCTCAGACGTCTCACGTGGAATGTGTTCCTGATTTGTTTGATAAACGACAGTGAGATGTACTGGATAGATGTTAGATTATCATCATACTGCACTAAACACTTTGTAAATACACCTTTATATAAACATCAAAACAAAATGGAGCATCAGGTTGAGTGTACATATATTTTCGGATAAAAAAGCTTGCTATTCAAAGCAGGCATTGTTTATACAGAAGCATTTGTTATGCTTTGTTTCTATTTTCTATTTTTTCATCTACTTTCAAACACCTTGTATTACTCCTGATGTATATGAATCTTCACGGCCACATGCTTGCTATCTTATGACGACATTCAGGCTATGACTTTTTTCATCGGTGCTCATTCTTATTCTTGTCATATTATTTTGCAGATCATTTTCGCGATAATGTAAATGACCGGCGAAATTGCAAAAAACATCACCCGCAGATATCTATTCACGATTGTATACATGTAGCTAGTGAAACGATTTGGATTACCTACATTGAAATATCTATGATATAAGATGGCGATCGCTCCGAAATATGCAGTGAAAATCAGTTCATTTCGAATTTAATAATAGTAATAATATAATTGGTCTGTCAGATAAACACCGACTGGGCATACACTATACAACCTTAATTACCTCGGAGGATTGTTAGTAGTTTAATGATGGACTGACTAAAAACGTTGTAAAGTGACCATCTCCATTTACCTAATGTAATGTAATCTACCGTTCTGTATTTAATCCGCTAAGCTAAATTGCACCTCCAACGTACATTATGTCATCTTTAATCTAACATCGTTTCAATGCCGCTGTCAGTCAATCAGTCTTATTGACTACAATGTGTGGCGATGTACTGGAGTGTGAGCCAAACCTTTACAATATATGCAGTAACATCCACTAACCACTACCATTGTACCCACTGATGCGTTGCAGCCGTTTTTATTTTTTCACTTGGGTAACTAAAGTAAACTAGTTATTCGAGAACTGGGGTTTTCCGCAGTAATGTGCGTGCTTTCCCCCACTTTCACAGCAATCCATGTCAGGGTAATAAACGATTGACAGGTCAAGACTACCAATTCTTTCGAAACAGAATAGTAGCATTTAATCAGGCAAAATAGTACACCAGTATGTTTTTATTAAGTGTTATGTTAATAGTTTCTGCTTTAACCGGGGCTGATTTTAAAAACTGTGCTTATGTAACAGGCGAGATTTTATACCAATGTTCTCTACTAACGTTTCCTTATGCTTAGGAATATGTAAGACAAGCAAACACACACTTTTAAGTAAGTTTATTATACCCCGTGTGTTCAGTAATACACAACACATCACCTATCAATTACGCTACCGCGGCCTCACTATAGGTACTCATGGCTTTGCTACGTGTTAAATATATGTAATTACCACCCCGCTGATTCCACAGATATCTAAGCTACACTAAGAAAGTAAAGTACCATACGACCTTACTCCTACATGAAGAGAAAGAAAAGAGAGAAAAGCGAAAGAAGTGTGCTGACCAGCGACTCAACGCATCCGTCTGACTACCGAACCACACGTGCTCTCGGCTTTTCATACCCTACTCCAACACTACCCAATATATTAACAGATAAGAAACAAGATTATACAACGTTTACGGAAATACCCTGCCGTAGCGGAAGTAAATACACTTTCGGTCTATTACTAACGACGCTGGATTAACGATAACATGAACACGAGAACTTCTACACAAATAAACAAACTATCTACCCGTTACATTCCCTCCTCTTTGAAAAATAGGTTTATATTAATCCTACAAAAAAACACTAGGCAACCTTTTCATATACGAGGTATAAATTAAAACAAAAATGTACCAAAACTTCACGACAATATACAGCATTGCAAATAACTTTTCTATTTCAAAATACGTTACCACAGTCATTATAATGCATATTTCAACCCTACTTGGCTCTTTACATTCGTAAAATAAAGTATCCCCCCCCCTGTTGAACCCCTGGAAAACCCCACCAATCAGACGGTAGTATTCACGCGCGTGATCAGTCACGAAGCCATGCTTCCCACTTCATAAATCCTTCAGCCTTCCTTGTTTACGAACGTGTTTTGGTTCTTACTACGGTCTTTGGGGTTCCAACTGCTACTGGCGTTGTTTGTCCTGAGATAATATTGGATCCTTTATATACTATTACTTATTTTTGTTTTAATTTAAGCGTTATGCTTTATTTTGCGCCGCTTTGCGACCAGGCTCAGCCCACGTGTTCGCGTTGTTTACGTTGAGATGGATACACCTCCTTCTCAAAGGCGCTGTCCTGGGGGTCATTATTTAGAGGCTTCCGACTACCACCCTTACCGTCCGAGCTGTCGGTTATCAATTGAATAAATCAATATTTCCATCATAGATATACAAAAATTAGTGACTGTGAATATGCTTAATGAAATACATTTTAAATTATTTCAAAAAATGTTTTTTATAGAAATTTCAATAAACGTATTCATGTAATCTTCTATAAAAATGAAAATCATTTTAGTTAGTCAATCACAAATAAATTCTAAAAATCAAATTTATCATTATTGCATTAATATCAAATAGCTACACATATATATAAAAATATCACAACTATTACAAAAGTCACAGTCTATGCCACGATTTCGACACGATTCACAGTTCTTACGCGACGCGATAGTCCACACTGGAAACAATAGGCACACTATATAACACTAATACTAACAGTCACAGTCACCCACAGCTCTACATGGTACTACACAGAACACACAGAACAAAGATAAGAAAATGATGCCCCCCCCAAAAAAAAACAACAGATTCGCTATTTCATCAGTCCCACAGAAATTGGTCCTCCTCCGGTAGCTGTACTGGGTAAGGGGTAAGGTCTTGACCCAACCTCGTACAACAGTTGTCACACGAATCTCGTCCCCTGTTAGAAAGGTGACTTCAACAGTCTCATCCCAGAAATACAGAAACCCCAAAATATTACAAAATCGGTAAAGGTTAAGCAGGTCATTTTTGGTTTACTTGCTAGACAACGGTTAACTTGCTGGACAAATGCAGGTATCTTGGCAGGTATTGTATTGGTATTGGGCATTGCTGTGGAAAGTTACTTTGAACATTGAGGGCGACCCTTTGATAAAATAATAGAACAGAACGTAAATGTGTACGTATTTCTGATCAAAATCAACTATATCACATAATAATAAATATATATATCTTGTCCCGTGAAACAATAAACAATACGCGTATGAGAGACCTAGATTCAATGCACAGAAATAATTTGCGGTAGATGTTGTGACGCGGTTAAGAAAAAAATCATGTGGAATTTAAACATATTATTTTCTTAGCAGTTGAAATTCTACCCCGAGTTTTACAAATACCCACTAAATCCACGTTCACCACACACCCTTAGTCATATTTTGTATGATTCACTAGCTATAGGTTGTAAATAACGAGGGTATATACACACCTCGAGGTAGTCAAGTTAGCTGACTAGCAGCACGATAACGACAGACAATACTACACAACGCACGTCAAATGCAAGCTTCGTTCTTTGTAAATGCTATTTTACTTATTTGTATACAGAAATAAAACGGTGATTGGCATCTCATATTTTCTTTAACTTTCTCTTTCAGTGTTTTTTTCCATTGCATCCATTCCGACACCAATCATCGTATGATATACATGTTTTACGAACTAAAACACAAAGCTAACAAGGTAGTGACAACAAGTTGATCAACACCCCAAACGCATTGTGTATTATTCTTCCTGATCGATTATTTGGAGAACCGTTTGTTTTGTATTAAAATGTTTAGGAGGAAGTAAATTTGCATGAAAGAATCAGAAAAGATCAGGAATTACCAGGTAAGTTTAAGCTAATTTTTATTTTGTGAAGTAATAACTATCCGAATGAAATGTTTATTTTGTACAGTGCGTGTATGTACAATGTACCTAGAGTCGCTACATGTTAAACTAATAATAACGATATAACAGTTCAGACATTATGTTGGGTTCAGGTTACCTTTCCTATTGTTTCGGTGTCCTTTACTGTTGAGCTATTTTCCTATAAATGTTTTCTTCCTGTTTTGTCTTAATGTGATGACACTATATATTATATTATTTGCTTCACCATTATGACGTTCACATGTATAGGATTGTAATACAATACACTGTTTAAATGTCTGATTTGTTTAGCCGTAACGTCATATTCATTCTTTAAGCGTAGGTGTTCACATTCAAATTGGCAAGTGTCAAGTTCCACTGTAAATTCGATGCGTAAATGAACATATTCATGCTTCATTGAAGAGGCGTCCCCTTCCTGATAGGTTTATTGGTTTCAGTGTAAATTTATCTATATTCTAATTCAATACTTTACCGCCAAGTGACATATTAAATGAATATCTCAAATTCGATACTTAAACATACTAAATAAGGCTACGCACTTCTCTTGAGTTAATTAGATGCTGGCCAGTTATTCCACTGACAATAATTTTATGTAAACCACATTTGGTGGGTGCAAAACTAAAAGGCTTAACATATTGTACTTCGTTTTCCTGAATAAGTTTCTGTGTAATAACATTTCGAATGACTGGTTTCAACCAAACGCCTCCACAATAAATGCATGTATTCGATATTTACATTTGCATGGGAATGATACAAGTAGACAAGGTTCATGTCTTTAATGAGGACTAAAGGAACCCACTCTCGAAAGGGGGATTCGCTTTTATGCCTTCTGCTTAGGGAAACAAAAACGACCAAAATAAATCTGCTTCATCAATTGAAATATTTGGAAGCCTTAAAAATGGTTGTTGTTATTACCTGCTTAACGCTCAGCATCTACGGTATTTGCTTGGTTTGGTATGGTTTAACAGTGTAAAACGTCCAATCAACTGTTGAAGTTAGTTAAGGACATACATCCATGTTTGTAATGCATGCGTGTATGTGAATTGGAGGCAGGGTATGTTGGTATAGTTGCTTCCTTTTTATAATGTTGATCTGATGCGGACGCTATAATGCACCGTAGGAACCCAGCACAGCATTCCTCCCGGTCACATCATACTAACAACGGGTAAGGTAGCTTATTGGACAGAACCAATTGCCTTCCTCACCTTGGCAAACGTTTAAAAGTAAAGCCAAAATTCAGGTTTCGCCATGCAAGGCATTAGTAAACAAAAGGTAGGAAGAATTAGAGAGCATTATAAAGATCC